AGCGTGGAGTAGTGAAGATAATTACAAAAGTTATTGCAGGACGATAGCAATCACTGACAAGCTTTAGCATCCATAGAAAAAATGGAAAAATTGCTGGATAGATCTGAACTGTACGCCCAGATGAACATGGAATATAAACCTGTTAAAAGGAATAATAATAATAATAATAATAACAGCGACAAAGAAAATAAAATGTTTTAAAGACGTATTGATTAACTGTTTTAAAATGAGATTTTTAATATTAAGTAGTGGATATCGAGTGGCGTGGAGTAAATTTAAGTAGTGAATCGAAAAGCGTGGAGTAGTGGAGAGAATTACAAAAGTTATTGCAGGACGATAGCAATCAAAAGAGATATAATAAATCATAATAGGTTATCAAAATCTACAGAGTTAAAAAGTTACAGTATGTTAAGAATGAGATTGATCAACTTAGATTAGTTTTCAGTTTCTATAACCTACAATTAAAAATAAACTCACCATTAACGCTTTATATGACTTTCAATTCATCAGAATTGGCGGCAACCTTTTATAGCAGATTGTCTTGCGGTTCGTAATGACTAATAACTCTCAATTCATAGTTTTGAAGAAAACTTCACTTTTCAAAATACTGCCATCGACAATGCCAATTTCATTGTTTTTTTTTTTTTTTTCATTGTGCCTCCGTTTTGCCCTCTTCAGAAGATATCACGACCATACCTCTACGATCTAGAAGAAAATGAGAATTTTAGGTACCATAAAAAGTGGCACCTCTAAGGAGCCAGGTATCTCTGTTTTTGGTTTATGAAAAACTGTCTAAGAGCCGTTCTTTTAATGCTGATCCAAGTGCCCATTCAGGGTTTTCATTTTCATGTCATTCGAATTTTTTGTCTGCAAGTTCTTGGTATTTTGTTTTCGTTCATTTAATGTTTTCGAATTGGTATAAATAACTTAAAAAATATTTCAGAATCAAAGTGTTTATTATTCTAATATTAGGCGTGATAGCTTTGAACTAACGGTGATGTGCACTAAGAAATTCAGTTTTTGTTAGAAATAATAAATTAATTATTTTATATGTATTTGGTCCTTTTTTTTATTTATTAATCAGTGTATTATTGACTCATTGTTTCTGATTAATATATTTGAAAGGCCACTGAAAAACCATCAAAGTCCATTTTTAAGTGATTTTGAATTCTCAATGCCATCTTTTGGTGTTCAAGCAATAATATGTGAGAAAATGAAACATTAAAGAACCATAATGGTTCCTTTGAAATCGCATATAGAGAAAGTAAAAGTTGAAAAGTCTTTTGGTAGGTAGAGGGGGTAAACGTTAAACCACGTCGGGCGGCTCCGAGAATTTCGCAGTAATGTTTACTTGCCAGTGTCGTTTCATGGAATAAGTAATTTTAAATTATTATCGGCGGAACCGGACAATCGCATGTATTTATGGATTATAAATAATTATTAAACATGTATTATAATATTCAAATCATAATTTTACAAAATTTCAACAGCTATTCACAATTTATTAAACTATTTACTCGAAATTGTTATTAACATCTATAAAATAATTTTGTACGCCAATGTATCGCGTCCACTTCGGTGAGATCCGCTGCCAACCTGTCAATTTATGTGTATAAAGTGGGAGAAGTGGCAAAAGCATTTCCAACTTTTACTTCTGTTCTACAAGAGATCGGGCATAGAATGCAATAAACATCAGAGTCCATATATTATTTTTATTCTCCTGAAAAATTTGGTTTCATAAAACTTGGCTGTGGATTTTTCACGTTTATTTTTATACTTATACTGTGTGTTTTCTGTTCTAGATATCACATTCTTTATTATACGTCTAAGACGCAATGCTATCTTGGAATATGTAGCAGCCCGATAGTTCCAGTTACTTCATATATTTTTAAATATTAGATTTGTACGTTATTTTTTTTTTTAATAAAAATATTCTTTTTAATTATGCTTATTATTCAAATATTAATTAGACCTACAAAACTACAAAAGTTAAAATTGGTTTACGTAACTAATTTTTTGCTTTATTATATGTAATCATTGTACTCCATGTATAATATTCTACGGATTATTCACAATATTTTTCTATTTCCTTTTCTCCTTCATCAGTCAAACTTTATAGTAGGTATATTTACTCAGAATGTATACAAACTGTTTAAAGTACAAAATTAATAATCCTATAAAATTGAGTAAATAATATATAAAATGACAAGCCTGTGCATGGTCTATGTAGTATCACAATACTGTGAAATACTATTCTTACATTGAAAGTTAAAAATATTCGCTATAAAACAATATTTTTAAAATCATGTCCATCCGCTTTCATCTAGCATTTTATAGTAATTAACAATATATATAACCCCTTCCGTACGGTACGGCACTGCCAAGTTCTCCGTTTGTGAACCTTTCCTCTCTCCCCGTCTAGATAATCATTAAACACACTACTTCCGGTAAGGCGTATCTATATTCCAATACGTGATCGAATAAGCATTCCAAACAAAATAGCTGGAGTGCGTTTAGAAACCACGCACGGCGCGTCTGGACCCTATTCTAATGTATGTGGTGAGACGCGCCGTGCGGGGTTTCTAAACGCACTCCTGATCGTTTGAAATGACATTCCACAGACAGACACATGACAAGTTATAATATGGCAACACTGTGAGTCTGGTAGTTTGATAGGGTCGGTGCTATAGACAGTTATATAGATTGATCATCCACGGTTTTAAAAATAAACGTAAGTTATATTTTGAAGTAAAAATGTAAGCAATTATTTTTTGTTAAATCTCCAACAATGAGGTTGAATACTATGGAGATGACATATAAAAAAAAACGACACCCCTTCCCCCTCTCTTAGTGGTCATGTCATAGTTGTCAAAGAGCTGTCAGAACTTTGTTCAAATTTAAATATTTCGACGTTATTTCTATCTTAATAAGTGTTTTTTTTTTTATTAATTTGTATAAAAATCATGACTAAGTGTGCCAAAATTAATTGTAAAAACTCTTCAGTGAAAGAGCGTAAGAAAATATCTAATTTAAGTTTTCATAAGTATAAGGAGTGTACTTAGAATTTTTTTTAGAATGCTTAACTTTTTTTTATTATAGGTTTCCAAAAGACCCACAATATCTCAAAATTTGGTCTAAATTTGTGGGAAAAGACCAATTTGACCCTAAACCGAATAGCATGTTGTGCTCTATTCACTTCAATGAAGAATTTTTTGATAAGAGTGAGTTTAGGGTCAGATTGAAGAAGAATGCTGTTCCGAAAATAAATGAATGTTTAGTTAGTATACACTTTATTTACAATAAAACTTAAATAACTAACTTAATAAAGAAAATTGGCGGCTTGACTAACTTTATAAGAAAGACAAATAACTATATTAAAACTTAGATAACTATAATAAAACTTAAATAACTAACTTTATAATTAAACTTAAAAACCAACTATAATTAAACTTAAAAACCAACTTATAATTACACTTAAATGACTAACTTTTTAAGTAACACATAATTTAGAATAAAATTTCAAGTATTTAAAAGCAGTTTTTATTAGATTTCCTATTATTATATCGTTTTGATAATGAATATACTGTATAATAATAAATACTGGTGATATATTTTTATTATTTAATTAGATTTGTGGCCATCACTCACTGCTATGTACCTCCTCATCCTCATGATATAAAATAATATGCTCGCTCATGTACCACATTACAATTATTATTAATATTAAATGAACAAACATTAAATTGATGTTCCTTAATTTAAAAACCTGCCGACTTTGTTCACAATACACAATAAATATAATTTAAAACATATTACGAAGTTAATGATATTTAAAAATTAGTAGTTTTGGAACTTAAACTAGTAGTTTTTGTATCATGGATCTATATTTAAGGCTTTATAAGATACTAAATCTTGTTCTAGACTAACCCATCCATACCTACACCTCCTCCTCCAAAAATCAGGATCCTATCAAATATTCTTATTAAACCAGCAAATCAAACCAGTCAGATCGAATTACCTGTACCCTCTGCTTCTTCTCTAAATATTCCATATGAAGAACCGCTGACGCCAAAGAAACAAAAAATATTACATACACTTTCCTCTGTCCGGGCAACAAGTGCAAAAAGAAAGAAAAAATTAAAATTGCTAAGACGACAACTTTCTCGAAAAGTGAATAAAATTGCCAACTTATTAAATGATTTAAGTAAAAAAACGTTTGATACAGGAAGATGAGTTAGATATAATGTCAAAACTTGGGGGGCCCATCGAGATATGTAGCAGGCAATTAAAAAAAAAGTCTAACCTACCATTGCCTAAGAAGTATTCAGAAGAGCTAAAAGTTTTTTCCTTAACTCTCCACTATTACTCACCTGCTGCTTATAATTATGTAAGAAGAACATTTGACACTTGCTTACCACATGTCCGTACAATCAGTCGATGGTATCAAAGTATAAAAGGTGAGCCTGGATTCACAAGTGAGGCTTTCAATGCCCTACAGATTAAATCAAATTCTTCCAATGAAAAAATAATATAATAATATTAATCTCTTTTATGGTCTTGGCATTGGCTTGGTCGGAAAACGGTTAATAAATAATAGTAAATAGTGTAAATAGTGCGCAATGTCATCAAATTAATTTCGAATCGATCATGTTGAAACAAATCTTAGGTAAGTAAGTCATTTAAAAGTTGTAATTCTGCATTCGGACTTTAGTTATATTTGAATACGACCCTGCTTAGTCAACTATTTAAGCCCGCCCAGTGGGGTCATTTTTAATAAAACGTATCATATGCAAAACAATTGCCTCATGACATCTCCATTAGTATTATACCTCCATGGTTTTAAAACACATTTTTGCTAAACCGATTCAAATTAATAAATATTTGCCAGGCAATATGACCGCTCGCAAACGACCAGCTTCGAGCAATCTATATAATCATGTATCATTGACCCCGTTAATGGCAACAGGGTTGCCATATCTAAAACTGTCACTGTCACTCCCCGTTGGAATGCGTAATACTCGTAGAGGTTATGTTATTTGTTGTGTCAAAAGTATACAAAATGGAATTTTCAAAAGAACCCAATTTTGATATGTTAACAGCTAAGGATTTTACACCAGAAAAATGTATAACATCATTTCACATCTATAACTTTGATTTACATATTTCTGTTTTTAGACGTTAAGAAACTATCTCAAAACTATGTGGGCGGTTCCGAGTTACAAAATCTTCGCAGAAAAATTAAATCGCTTTCCGAAGAAACCAGTAGTAACTTGAAGAAAAATGTTTACGAAAATTATGTACAGTTCATTGAAACCGCAAAAGAAATATCCCGTATCCTTTGATATCAATGTTTCATAGTCTTGTAAATTTTTTATTTAATTTTCTTAATGAACCGTATCTGAATCTATTAATCTTACTAGATTATATACTTTTTGACTGGTCCATTAGACCAGCATTTCTTAAATTGTGTTAAATGGAATCCTGTGGTATCACAAAACTTAAGCGATTATTTATCTTTTCGCCTATGAAAAAAATAAGCATAGGTACTTGTAGGTATCACTATTGTAAACAAAATATCGTAGTTCCATATCTTGTGCAAAGTAATAATGACACGATTTTATTGAATAAAAATATTTCACCAATTATCTGAAATCAAAGCTCTGAGATACTACTTATGTCTTTCACTCTTGCTAACTCACACAAAAAGTTTAGTATCTGATTATTTATTATCAAAAATACAGCAATTAATTCCTAATAATGCTCCTTGCCCTAACAATATTTTATATTATAACTATTGATGTTGTATATATCTCTTTATTTTTAGTCATATATGGTTAAATAACATGTCATACACAGTACTAAATTAGACTTAATAAGTTTTTTTTATAGATTCTAGGTTATTAAATTCCTGTAATCCTTTAAAAAATATAGTTTTAAGAGCTTCTTTTTGCCACTGGAGGTATAAATTTTTTTTGTCTGTTATGAGTATTGTACAGATATATCTCATGGTTAAAAGTGGTAAAGTTTAATATGGAGCAATAAAAAAAATTGACTGTTATAGTCAGTCCATTATCTACTTTTTGCCTTATTTTATATAGCTAGTAATTTGACTATTTCACCTCAATAGTATATTAGCTAATTGGCATTTTTTAGCAAGCCACTAAAAATCTCCTCTCTTATAATAAGTAACCATCCATTGTAATTTTTTATTTTAAATCTATTATCAGACTTTTTAAACTATAGTTTTAATTATTTTTTCTTAACATAAATCAGATTTGGAGAGCGAAATGTATCAGCTTTCTTACTTACTTTCAGAACAGAAATCTTTGCTTAGTGCTCTATCTACTACATCAATTTTAGAAGATATGCAACCGATTAACATTGATAGAGATAATAAATTAAATGAGAAAGATTTCGAAGAAGAAAATAAACAAAAATTAGCTGCCATTTTAGAAAAAGTAGAGGGATGTAAAGTAAATGCATTTTTTTGTAATTGTTTAGAGAATTTAATTGTTAACATTTGTTTTTAAGGAATTGCTAGAAGTTCCTGGAAGAACTTTTTTATATGAAGGAGATTTACTTGAAATTGATCCAACAGAAAATACATCTTTAAAGACTGTTCATGTGTATTTATTTACAGATGGTTTTATGATAACTAACAGGAATTCTAACAGGTATAAATTTGTTTATAATATTAAAACTGATAATGGTAATATTATAAAAACATTTTAGTCGAGGTCTTATGAAGTATGTCTATGAAATTATGTACGACCTAAGCAGCCTAGCTGTGGTGAATGTAAGAGACTTGGGAAATGTCAAACATGCCTTTAAACTTCTAATTTTTCCTGACACTAGAGTGTTTCAGTGTTCTTCCAACTCTAATAAAGTAGGTTAAAAAAATCTTATTTATTTATTTATTATAGATAGTTTTTGTCTGTAGAAAGAATGGTTGGATAAATTCGATCAAGCTAAGAAAACAAGGCTAGCTCAGGAACAGCAAAAACGAGAATCAATTACTGAAAAATCCCCATCTCGCTCAGCATCTATTGAGTCGCCCACTTATAACCGTTAGTTTCTATATATCAAACAGTAATTTTATTATATTTGTACTCAGATTAAGAAAGAGAGGGGCTGACTAATAACTGTGAACCCCAATATGCAACCGTTTGCCACAAGGTATTAAAAGCAGACATAAAATATATCTCTGGCTCTAAGTTTTAGACGATGGCGTAACGAAATGTGAAATGTAATTTTAATCCTTCTTTCTTTTTTTTTTTTTTCACTTGAAATCCATGAAATTTACTTATTTATTTTACTTTGGTGAAATCAATGAGGTTGAATACTATGGAGATGACATGCCAAAAAAAAAAACGACACCCCTTCCCCCTCTCTTAGTGGTCATGTCATAGTTGTCAAAGAGCTGTCAGAACTTTGTTCAAATTTAAATATTTCGACGTTATTTCTATCTTAATAAGTGTTTTTTTTTTTTATTAATTTGTATAAAAATCATGACTAAGTGTGCCAAAATTAATTGTAAAAACTCTTCAGTGAAAGAGCGTAAGAAAATATCTAATTTAAGTTTTCATAAGTAAGTATAAGGAGTGTACTTAGAATTTTTTTTAGAATGCTTAACTTTTTTTTATTATAGGTTTCCAAAAGACCCACAATATCTCAAAATTTGTAATAAACATTTGTTTAAAATGTGAAAAAATATTAAAAACTCTAAGAAAAAAAATATCAGTTGATATTATCAGCACATTAGTTTTAAAAGAATTCATAAATTCTAATGTCTTCTCGAATATTATGCAGCACAGTTTGGACCAGTTTGTGTTGGATAATCATAGAATATTATTAATCAAGTGCATAGTTGATAAATATGTTAGTATCTGACTAACATATCTCACTAAAACTAGAGTTAATAAAGCTGCTAGCATAAGACATCAAAACAACAAAATAGTGTTGTTTAAAGGTCAATAAATATTTTTTTAAATAATAAAAAGAATGTTGTAGTGTCTTATTAAGAATGAGACACAGAAAAACTGAAGAGCTACCTATAATTTTACCAAATTTGGCAAAAGTTTTTGGTGTCATAAGATACGTTACACTTATTTGAACTATGATTATATATTTTTTGATGTTTTTTAAGTAAATCATATAGGTACTTTTGTTGGGAACTTATAAGAAACTTCAAAATTAAAATGAAGAATATTCGCATTCTAAGCATAGTCTTATTTTTAATCAGACTCTTCAGTTGTTCTGTATCCCTTTCTCAATGAGACACCTTGTATATAAACTTCCCACTTGAACAATTTTATATTTTTCAAGTATGTACAATACAGGTGTATCAGAAATTAAAGCAAAAAGACAACTTATAACAAAGGTTTAAATTTAATAATGCCAAGTCATCCTTGCACCCTAAAAAAGTACCAATGAAGAAATTATTCCTCCAATGCAACCAAACAGTTATTTTTAGGATAAGATTTTGTGTCAAATGTTATCCACAGCCACAGGTTTCTTTTTAAATGGCATGACATTCAAAATTTTGGTCAAAACAATTTTCATCATGCACTTTTCTTGGAAATTCACAATGCTTTATTAGGATTAAAAACACCAGTTTCTAGAAACTTTTTCACTATAACACTAACATTACTGATCAGAAAAAGTGGTTAAAGTTTTCTTTTTGTAATCACAAATCGCAACTGAATGCCTATTTTTAAAATAAATTATCTCTATAATTCCATTTGTATAGTTGTATGCTGTGCATCTGTGAGATTGTTGTTTATTATACATAGGTACCAATTATAGAAATCTTTAGTAAGTACTTGCTTGCAATTTTAGTAATATATGTACCTACCCTATATAATTATTTCAAATATAAATAAAACCAACAACTATTATCTGAGTCTTTTTAGTTCCGATTGGTTTTGACAGAGTAGTTTGATCATGGTTTTCTTCCATCTACTTTTTTTTAACCATAAAGTCATACCTAGCTGAATTTTTGGTCTTTTTAAACTTTTGACTGTAGCGGGTCATATTTTTAATGTATGTCATCTGCAGCAGAAAGACCTACATGTTTTACATTTAAAAGTAATTAATTGTCCTTTCTACAAACTCGGCTGTATTTTTACTGAAATATATTTATTCACAATTCACGTAGTGGTTTGGTTTTTGGTTTGGTAATTTGATGTCATAATTCTCCTCATTGTCAGATTTGATCAAGACAAGAGAGTCCTTGAACGAAAAATCGTAGTTCGGGTTTTAGTTTTAAAGCACAAAGAGATTAACAAATCTGATGCACAGTGTTATTAGAACGTTGATTTTTGACCACACAGGTCATATATCGGACGGTTTCGGCGAAGACAGAACAATATAATAATATTAATCTCTTTTATGGTCCTGGCATTGGCTTGGTCGGAAAACGGTTAATAAATAATAGTAAATAGTGTAGAAGTCATAATTGCGCAATGTCATCATATTAATTTCGAATCGATCATGTTGAAACAAATCTTAGGTAAGTAAGTTATTTAAAAGTTGTAATTCTGCATACATACTTTAATTATATTTGAATACGACCCTGCTTAGTCAACCATTTAAGCCACGCCCAGTGGGGTCATTTTTAATAAAACGTATAATATGCAAAACAATTGCCTCATGGCATCTCCATTAGTATTATACCTCCATGCGTGAAATACACTCAAAATATACAAATGACATCACAGCTTCTCTGGCACCAAAAAATGGCGGCCGATCGATATTTGATTGCAATCTTGTACATCAGTCTGAAATAAATTTTCAAGTTTTATCCACTTAAGTTGTATGAAATAGGCAGATATGTGATCAAACTTCCTTAAATTGTAAATAAATCTGTAGCAGCCATTTTGGATACCTTGTAACTGCTTTCTGGATCCTAAACCTGGATAATAAATGAGTAAACAATAATTCAAGCGTGATAATACTAAGGATTCGATGAGTTTTTTGCGCATTTTAAGGTTGAGAATGTGTTTGTTCACATACAGCAACCGCAATTTTATGTAACATGATTGAATCAAATTTTTTATATGGCTTTTAAATCTAAGAGCCTACATTTTTGGCTTCATCCCCTCTTTTTCTAATCTCAAGTATTTGTAAAATAATAATTTATGTACATTTTTATCTGTAAATGTCACATTAATTTCTATTTCATTCTAAAATAGCATTTGAAGAAGATATGGGTACCATTCACCCGGAATGGTTTTTAGATATTCCTGAAGAACTTGACGTTTGTGTAGCCCAAAGACATTTTGAAGAAGCCTTGTCTTTATTACAGAAAGCCAAAGATTATATAAATCAGACTGCTTCTTCCAGTGAGAAACATGATCACGTTCTCATTGATATTCAAAGAAAGGTAATGTAAAAAAAAAAAAACATTTTTAAATTGGGTTCATTTTGAATGCTGTTTGTCCAGTTCGATTTAACTTTGTAATAACGAAGATATAGTCTTAGGTCCTTTTGGGCATCAAAAACATCTGAATTTTTCCCTCATAATATAATTTATAAAATCTTCAATTCCCTAAATTTCTATTAACTGCCCATCTGTTTGAATGGGTAATCCTTAGATCAGTGGTCGCCAACCTGTCGATCGCGAGCTACCGGTAGCTCGCGGAGGCAATTCTGGTAGCTCTCACAACGATTTTAATTTAAAAAATACAAACTGCAAAAATCAGAGAAGCTTCCGAAAATTCCACAAAAAAATCTAATTGTCATAATATTAAACATAAACAGCGGCAACGTTGCGGTGAGCGATCTGCCGCTGACGCCATCAAACTAGAATCGGCTAGAACCGACCAGCCGGACCAGCGCGTTAGTGTTCGAGAACGATCAGGATTGCTTTGAACGGGATAAATACGCACGGCGCGGCGACATTGCGCTTAGTTTAAAACTAAACGCGTAACCAACGTCTAGCGGTTGGGTTAGTAGAGAACAACAAAAAATAATATTATGGCAAGCAGTTGTAAGAAGGTAAAGACATACCACTTTCATTCGGAATGGGAAAAACAATACTTTTTTACAGAAGTTAAAGATAAAAATGTGTGTTTGTTATGTAATACTTCGGTCTCCGTTGCTAAAAAAGGAAATATTGAGAGACATCATAAAACTGTACATTCTAATTTTGAAAAATCATTCCCACTACATTCTGCCGCCAGAAAGGAGAAAATGAAACAGTTAAAAAAGCAGTTAATTGGACAACAATCAATATTTTTAAGAACAGTCGACAAAAATAAAGCTGCCACTGAAGCATCGTACCGTGTGTCCCAGATAATTGCACAAAAAAAAGAAACCTTATGAAGACGGGGAAATGATAAAACAGGCGTTTTTAGAAGCTGCTGATTCGTTATTTGCCAACTTTAGAAATAAAGACGAGATAGTTTCAGCTATAAAATCTATGCAACTTTCTGCTAATACAGTGATGAGACGTGTAGAAGTAATGAGCAATATTTTTTTACAGTTAAGAACTGACTTAAATAACTGTGTTTATTTTTCACTTCAACTGGATGAATCAACAGATGTCGTTGACACTGCCCAGATGGCCGTGTTCGTCAGGATGGTTTTTAGTGATTTTACGATTAAAAACGATCTTTTGATGTTTATTCCACTGAAAAATGGTAGGCTTGATAACCGATGGCGCTCCAGCTATGGTGGGTTGTGATAAGGGTCTGCTGGCGTTATGTCGTAAAGATTAAACTTTTCCGCAATTTCTCTGTTACCACTGCATTATCCATCAGCAAGCATTATGTGGAATTTTCATGAAACTAAACAACGTTATGAAACTGGTGGTAAAAATTGTGAACAGATTAGAGCTCAAGCGTTACAAAGAGGATTATTCAAAACCTTGGCCGATGAAGTTGACTGTCAATACGGGGACCTACTCTTTCACTCTGAAGTCCGATGGTTAAGTAGAGGACGGGTGCTGAAACGTTTTAATGATGTACTATCTGGCATAGTTCAATTTTTCAAACAACGCGATGAACCGACTCCGGAACTAGAAAATTCAATTTGGCTTAGAAATTTTGGTTTCCTCGTGGACATTACAGAGAAATTAAACGAACTTAATTTGCAGCTTCAGGGGAAAGACAAAGAACTAGCGGAAATGATTTCTGATATAAAAGCATTTATCAAAAAGCTGGAGTTTTGAGAACAAAACCTAATTAACAGCGATGCCAAGCACTTTCCTATTATTTCAGAAAAAATATCTCAAAATCCATTAGAACCCTATGACAGCAAATATAATGTAGAAATAGTTTCTACCCTGAAGAATAACTTCAAAAATCGTTTTAAGGATTTCAACGAAATGGCTTTAGTAGCGCAGTTTGTTGTTTCACCCTTTATGGAAATTGATATCCAACAGTTTGCAACTTGTGTTATGCAGAACTTTGGCGAAGACATCGCTGCAACAGAAATGGAAGTAATTGAGTTTCAAAATGATTTAGCCTTAAAATCGTTAGTCTCAAGTACCAAATGTATCTGGCCTATTGTAAGTAAAGACAAATATTCAGTTCTATGCCGTGGTGCCTTGAAAGTGAAAGCATTATTCAGTTCAACCTATTTGTGTGAATCTTCTTTTTCCAATATGAAGTTTATTAAGAACAAATATCGCAATCGACTTACAGATGAACATTTGGATAATTGTATTCGAATGGCTGTATCAAATTATACTGCAAACATTAAAAAAATTATCGATGAGTCTGAGTGTCAGCCTTCTCATTGAACGTGCTTTTTTATTTTTCAATGTTTATGTTCATTTAACTATTTTTAAATCTTACGTGACATGCCGTTGTGGCTGGATAAAAGTTTGTGTTTATTTTTCAAACACCTTCGTTTGGTAGGTAGGAATGTAGCTATGAACAAGTACGTACTAGTAATATTAGTTATTAGTTTATTATTAGTACCTGTGTATTATGTATTACCAGTTGAATAGTAAAATAAATGCATATAATGATAAATTAGCTGTGGATTATTTCATTTACGTTGCGTTACGTGGCTTCCGTGTGGGTAGCTCGCTGTTTATTCCAAAATTAACAAAGTAGCTCAACACATTGAGAGGTTGGCGACCACTGCCTTAGATTCTTAATTTGACATAAGTATCCCAGATTAGTGACTGTCAAACATTTGAAATTTGTTTGAATTTTAGGTGGAACAAAGACAGAACAGTCTAACTGAAGTGCTAATGAAAGAACTAGAAGTTAATCCTGACAAATCTCTGCAAGGTGGTTTGAGAGCAGCACGTAGAGCTGTTAGGTTGCTGAATCAATTAGGAAGGGAAACTCAAGTAAATTTTATTGCTTTATTTAATCAATAATACGTTTTCTTACAAATTAATTTTAGTCATGCAACCTGTTTCTGAAATTGTGCAGTAGTATGTTGAGAACTCAATGTAAACGAGTAAAACGAGAAGGTTCGACCACAACTTATATAAGACATTTATCTAGTGTAGTTTTTACTAATATGTGTCACATGTCTGATGAGTTTTTACGAGCCTTTCCCGATTCGCCAGCTTGTGCTTCAGGTAATGTATAATTTGTCAAAATGATATTATAAGTTCAAACTCATTGAATTTTGAATCTATATAAATTTTTAGCTTATGTTGTGTGGGCCAGCAATGAACTGTTACAATTTACAACCCATTTGATTAAACAAGTTTTTATGCCTCAGACTTCCCTGGCAACTATCACAGAATGCATAATTTTGGTCAGAACACAGTGTGAAAGGGTAAGCAATTTCCAACGTGTATTTATTAGTTACCACTTGAAAATACAAAATAAAAACATAATGGTAATGGAACCTTTTTCCACGTTAATTGGAATCACTGTTTTGGCGACGTTTTCTTCTGTTTTTAAATCGAAATCGTTTTTAGTTATACGGTTATGGGATAGACCTCTGTTATCAGTTAGATGGCGCTTTGAGGTCGTCGCTAATGAAAGCTTTAAGAGATGCTCGAGATAAACTTATCGATTCTATAAAATTGCGAGCCCTAGATGACAAATGGATTCCCATGAACTTACATTCCAAATCGTCTTTAGGACGTTGCATACAAGAACACGCCCAAATGGGGTTGAATTTGGAAAGCTACGTTTCAGGTTAGATTTCTTCAATTTTTTTTTTGCTATTTTGCTTGAACATTTTCGTTTTAGGTGATACTTGGTTGCAATTGACAGCAAGTACATTATCGTTTACAAAAATGTTTCTAAGCTTATTGAACGACTGTATGAAATTAAAAACCACAGAATTAATGTATACTATCGATGAAACTCTATATAACGTCTTTGAGGCACAAATAAGACATAATGAAAATGCTCTCAGAACTGAATTAAATCAAGAAGTAAGTATATCGATTTGACAATGACCATAAACTATCATTTGTAATTTTGAATATTCCAGCAACGAACATTTCTTACGAAAAACGCCGAATTTTTGTTGGTCAATTTGATAGAAGTTGCGCAAAAGAAATACAAGGAAAATGTTGGTTATGAATGCCAGACTCTACAAAAATTGCGTAAGGAATATGTTGCACTACAGAAGGGTGTATCGCCTACATCAAGAAGTACAAAGACCAAATATTCTTCAGAATTTATTTAAGAATGTAAATTATAGGTATTAAAAAATAAAGAATTTTGTACTGGTTTTAAATGAGTACCGGATCAACCCTATAACGTTTGAATAATTTTAAATTTTGGTTATTATATTCTTCAACTAAGGGACCCGACAGACGTTGTCCTGTCTTAACTATGAATATTGATTTTGAATTGGTATAATTAACTAAAAAAATATTTCAGAAACAAAGTGTTTATTATTCTAATGCTTTATGATATACGACATTCTTTGTTTTTTTTTTTCTGGACAACAAAAAAAGAATTAGCGAAATCGGTCCAGTCCTTCACGCCTGATACTGTGCCCAAGGATTCATTTATATATATATATATATAGAAATTTTCTAATTTTCCGCGCAATTTTCTTAATTTTTTCTTTCATAAGAACCGTCTCCTGACAATAACAAACACAACAAAAAAAGAATTAGCGAAATCGGTCCCGCCGTTCGCGCGTGATGCCGTGACCAAAGGAAATAGGGATTCATTTTTATATATAAAGATTAGTTAGAAAACGTTTGTATGGTAAAAAGAAAAGGGCTGTTTTTAGGGTTTTCCCGGAAATTATTCGAATTTTTCTGGCCGTAAAAACCATCCTTGGACTTCAACGAACATTTAAAAAAAAAAAGAATTGGAAAAATTGGTCCAGGCGTTGTTGAGTTATACGCTTACAAACACATTTTACGATTTATTTTTATATTATACAGTGTGTCTACTTAAGTTGGAACCATATGGAAAACATTTTTATTATTGATTTTAGGAAAAAAAAGTTATTCTTGATAAAAAGTCCTGCATGACCCAAAACTTAAAATACAGTCATCAGATATCAAATTTTTCAAGCCGTATACGAGGTTTGTCAAAAAATATGAATTTTGCTCAAGAGTAAAGTAAGTTTATTTTTTTACAAAATCGAAAATTTTCATTAAGACATTTGCTAAATTCTTCACAAACATCAACAAAAGGAAAGCGTATCATGTTTATAGTAGCTAACGTAATTTATAACGTTTTCAGATATTTACAATCAATGTGTAGTTTATAAAAAATAAGAAAATCTGTTTTTTCAGATAGATCGGTGTAATTGCATTGCAATTCTGTCAAAAATAAACGTACTTTACTCTTGAGCAAAATTCATATTTTGTGACAAACCTCGTATACGGCTTGAAAAATTTGATATGTGATGACTGTATTTTAGGTTTTGGGTCATGCAGAACTTTTTATCAAGAATAACTCTTTTTCCTAAAATCAATAATAAAAATGTTTTCCATATGGTTCCAACTTAAGTAGACACACTGTATATTTTTATATGTAAGAGGGTGTATCCATCCTCTTCAGTATTAATTTCAATTTAATGAATTGTAATTTTTTACTTAATAGCACAAATATAAACCAGATTTATACTAATATTAAACATAATTATAAAAACATTTTAAATGATATTGGGGTCTATTCTGTAACAATTCCTTTATATTTAACGGCCTTTAAAAATATTGGCGACCTTTAAAAATATGTTTGTATTCGTTAATTTACTTGTCATTATTTAAACAGATTTCTTTAAGATAGTCCTCTAATGTATTTTAAAGATCCGTTTAAATAATGACAGAAGTAAAGAAAATATTTTTAAAGGCCGTTAAATATAAAGGAATTGTTACAGAATAGACCCCATTGCACCTCTAAAAACAGTCACATTTTATGAAAAAAATCTACCCTGGTATGATGATCAAATTAGAAAAAAGTTATGCATGTTATTTAAAAATAATTGGCAAAATTATAAATAGTTTACTGGCTATTTCGCTAATGGTTTTTAATTTAAAAACATTGGTCAATAAAGTCGTTATGAGAAAAAAAAATAATTACCAAATTGTTTTAATAGATTTTGTGAAAAATATTTGAGTTTACCTGCAAGTGTTTTTGAGTTTTCACTATATTCGAAATTTGCACTTTTCCTCAAATATCTCGAATACGGTACAAATCATGTATAGGACAAAAATTATAGAGAATGACAGGCAACTTTTATTTGAACAATTTTCTTAAAAATTCGAAATTTGCATTTTGTAAAATTTCTTGAATACGAACCATTTTAGGAAAATTACGTACCTATAGGATAAAATTATAGAGCAACATAAGTTTTATTTAAAGAATTTTCTTCTACAAGCGTAAAAAATAACATATATTTCATGGAATAGAAAAACAACCCCCCAAAACGTAAAATCCGTAGAAAACTCGAGGTCGAAAAAAATCATGATTTCTATATTTTCCTTACCTGTATACACACCAGTATTGCCAGAGCCACAGAACATCCCAGAGCACTCTGAAGGAATGCAATAGAGGAACTCTCAAAATTGTAATAAATTTAAAGAAAATGTAATAGAAGTTTTAGTCAATGTAAAGTTTTTTCTTTCTTTAGTTGTTTGCACTATTTGTGTACATAGCAGTAGTCGCAGCTTCTGGTTTCTTTATCACACATTTAATAAGTTATTTATAATATAAAATTAAAATATTAGAACATATCTACAAAAACTAAAATCCATTATTAATAATAAAACCCCCCCTGACCATAAAAATGTAAATCAGTACGTCTTGTTATTATATTGTTTGGAGTAAACGGTAAAATTAAAATCCAGACACATCGTTAGGTTAGTGAAAATGTAATAAGATTTATTGAAAATGTAATAGATTTACTGAAAATGTAATAGATTTACTGAAAATGTAATAGATTTACTGGACATGTAATAATGTATTAAACCCTTCATAAATGTAATAGATCTGTTACAATTGTAACAAACTGGCAAAACTGATACAGACAAGTAAGTAAAAAACGTATTCTGTCAATAAATTAAATTATTTTTAAATAAAATACATTTTAATTAAACGTGTACGACCCCCTATAAAATAAAAACAATTTTATTATGCATTAAAAAAAATATCAGGTGAAATGGAGACAATTCTGGACTACCTTGGAAATATTTTCTATACAAGTAGATCAGAAATTTGATCAACTGTGCCAAAAATGGCATTTTAACACGTTGAAGACCGCATTGAAAAATCTTATTTCTCACATTTTTTTTATTGTTAATTACGTATATTATTTTTTAAATGTTTTTAGTGTAAAATAATTTGAGGTAGACATTATTTAACCCCTACATTTATTTCAATTAAAGTGTCCACGGGTGATCACCCGGTCCCAACGTGTAAATTTACTTTCGTAAACCGCATGCCCACCAGTGAGTCAGTTATTTGTCTTGCACATTCTAGCTTTGACGAAACTAAATAAGTTGTAGCACAAATATTGAATATAATATATATTAAAAGTTGTTCTATTTTTTATTTTTATTTTACCTTTAAAATCTTAAAAACTCGTTAATTTTGTTTGATTTAAAAAAAAATCGTTTTATAATGAGGCTATGTCAAATTAACTAAGTCCACTATATGCAGTATCTCTTCGAGGGGCATAAATTGAATTTAAATCATGCCCACCGGTGTACAAGCGGTCCTCAAGTAGGTAAAACATTTCGTGTGCCCCCCGTAAGCACGCGGACCGGTGATGTTGCGGAGTGACCCACCGGTGCGATTGCGGTCTTTAACGTGTTAAAATTAATAAATAATTGATAGAACGGCACCGGTGTACAAGCGGTCCCCAGGTAGGTAAAACATTTCGTGTGCCCCCCGTAAGCACGCGGGCCGGTGATGTTATGGAGTGACCCACCGGTGCGATTGCGGTCTTTAACGTGTTAAAATTAATAAATAATTGATAGAACGACACTTTCGATAGATGGCCTACTCAAAGCACCTACTTCGACAATGACAAATAGGTTAGCATGGACACAGCCCAAAAAAAAGAAAAGAAGACAAATAGGTTAAATGTCAACTGACTGCGCGCGATTTTTAACGATTTCTAGTGATTGCTTAGCGACTGCCGGAGATTTCGCGGAGACTGCGAAGGAATTCTGAATGACAGACGATTTCTTAGCGATTGCCACTGATTTTGATGGGACTGCGGCGATTTTCAATGAGATTGCAGACATTTTGTACATGTATTGCGGGAGTGATTCGCCCCTCGCGTGAAATTAAAAATTAACAAAGCGAATTTATTACTTCCACTGCAATATACGCGATTTTTTTCTTCGTCGACATGTTCAGAAAGCTATTCTGCTGTCCTAAAAACAGATGCCGTATCTACTGAGAGCATCGAGCGGTGAAAATGAGGTTTAGTTATTTCTTTAGTCGGTAAAAGTATTCAGATGCGGCTAATTATGTTGGATTTTTAATATTTCGGAAACATATACGGCATTTCTACTTGGTAAGAAGTTAATTTAGCTTGCTACGAACCTATTTTGATACAAAAACTTCAAAATCCGACTTTTTGTAGATACGGCATCTATTTTTAGGACGGCAGTATTTTAAAACAGGAAATAAATATCTCAATTTTGGAAAAATGTCGAATACGTGTTTTTTTTAACCGACTTCAAAAAAGGAGGAGGTTATCAATTCGTCGCGATATTTTTTTTTTTTTTTTTTTTTTTTTTTATGTATGTTCAGCGATTATTCTTTAACACGGTGTCCGATTTCAATGATTCTTTTTTTATTAGAAAGGGGGTACTTCAGGGGTGGTCCCATATAAATTTAGTCAAAATCTAATAATTGGGTCCATGAGAAAATCCTCAAACTCTTCATTTTTGATGTATGTTTAGCGATAATGCTTTACCACCTTGTCCGATTTATATGATTCTTTTTTTGTTAGAAAGGGGCTACTTCAGGGGTGGTTCCATATAAATTTGGTCAAAATCGGAAAATGGGGTCCATGAGAAAATCCTCAAACTCTTCATTTTTTATATATGTTTAGCGATAATGCTTTACCACTTTGTCCGATTTATATGATTCTTTTTTTGTTAGTAAGGGGGTACCTCAGGGGTGATCCCATATAAATTTGGTTAAGATGTGGTGATGGCATCTGCACGTTTTTGAAGTCGGTTTTTTTAAATTTTTAATTTACACTTGTCTTATAACGGCAGTATAGATACGACTCCGCACCTGTTATATAAAGCGAAACAAAATTGCTTACCAGTTTGAACTGTAGAATCAAACACTTGATTTTCTTGGGAATCACACATATATACACCGATATGATCAATTTATATCGGTAAAGGTTAGTCATATAAGACCTAATAGATTTGTTTGATCGAGCGATCTGAATAGTCTACATATGACAACCGAATTGTGCAACAACTAGACACTTAATGATGGCGGGGTGACGGTGACGCTAATTTTTACACCCTGTCTAAATGACAATCATCTCTATTGTTTTTTGCGGGAACACTAATTCTTCGCAGATATGCGGAAACGGAAGTGATCACAGCGCTCGTGATGCAATAATTTGAAACAATAAAAAAAATAGTCCGGGCGATTAACGTGGCTATAGTCGGGTTACTTTTAAATAAAAACGGAACACCTTTCAAAATGAATGTGGCCGAATCTCGCCGAAATAAATTTTTACTATACCTGTTTTTTTTTTTGTTTCTTTAATTATAATTCTGAATGTTTTTATACAATACTAATATACACTTTACATTTTATTTACTTTCCAGTAATAACACTGATGAAAAAAAAAAATATTTAACGTATAAAATATATCACTACTTGGTCAATATTAAAATGCATGATTTATTGAATAATTATGTCCGGACTAAGCACTTTTTAATCAATATCAGCAAACTTGTGCAACTAAAAAATTCTGAAAACAAATAACTTTCGATTCTATCATCTCCCAGATAGCACAGGACGTCCCATGGACGTCCTGATTTGGTCCGGACCTAAATAGGACATCCACTGGACTTCCAATTACAGTAAACACTAGAACGTCCTACGATGGACGTCCTATTTTGGTCCCGTTTCGACAAAGCATTTAGGTTTCGGTCCGATTCCGGGACGTTAATGGGACTTTTTTATGTACTAGCATCGTTGGTCTTTGAATTTTCAAATAAAAAACAACAGCTACAATTTTCGGCATTCAATAATTAACTTATATAAGTGAGTTAGATTAACGAAGAAAAAAGAAGGTTATATAATGTTATTTGTTATTTTTTTTTTGATGTTGGTGGTAAAGTGGTTATAAAGTGAAGTGAGTGTTTTGTGTTGAGGTGAGAATAAGAGATGTGTATTGGCGGTAGTCGCTGGCGGAAAGTTGGAACAAAACTAATTTTGACAAAATTATAATACTCAGTTATGTCGACACAAGCTATAAGTAGGACCCAAGGTTTCATCTTACCAGCGCTGTGTGTTAAATTTAATTCATTCCTGTTTTTTTTGTAAACTGAAAACGTTTAACTCAAGCTAGTTTTTTCAGGATAAAAGTTGTTAAATAAAGCTCTTTTATTGTTAACATTTTTGTTATTATTACGCTTTATGGATTATGATTAAATATTGCCCTCGGACGTCTGATTTACGTCCCTAGGACGTCCCGCAAAGGTCCCTATGACGTCCTTTTGGGATGTCCCAAAAGGGGACGTCCCTCGGACGTCCTTTATCTCCCTGAAGGACGTCCTTTAGACGTCCGTGTGCTATGTGGGCTCTCCCAAATACACTCTTCCATAATCTTCTTAATGCTTTCGAGTTCTTGTAAACAGATACAACAATTAATGTATCTAGTTACTTTACAATAATTCATCCAAAAGCTATTTTTATAGATAACATTAAATCCATCAAAAAATAAAATTAGCTTTCGAAAATAACTAAGTTTGAACTTCAATAAATTTCAGGAATATTCAGTTAATTCTGCTCTTCCACGAAAAAAAGGCTCAGAATGTGTCATTAAGTTGAACAAACCTGTACATCAGTTCAAAGAAATTATCCTTAATATTTATTAAACGTTTTCTAGGTCATAAAAATGTAATAACAACTGTTCTGTTTTTGTTAATCATTATGCTTTTATATTCGTTGAATTTGCAATTGTTCTTCTTAGACCGGTGGTGTACCTTCAAGTATTTTACTACATGGCGTTTCAATATTAGTTGTACTTTCATAAAATCTGTCTCATCTTATATAATAATAATATGCCTTTATTTGCTTGTAATATACAATGCACATAAACATCATGAGGCGAAGTCTAGCTTGCGCTACTCAACTTAACCTCAACATAAATATAAACTTAAAATAATCAAAAGGTATCCATCATTTACAATATAAAAAAAATAAGAAATTTAATATACAATTAATTTATGATTAAAAAATGTTAACCCTGTATTTAATCTAAACTGAAATCAATTTAGGTCCTAAAATCCGTTATTTCTAAAATGCAAAAACAAGAAAAATGTATGGAACTTAAAATACAATTAAATAAGGAAAAATGTTTGAAATTAATAATATATTAACGTTAGCACTGTATTCATTGCTCAACTAATAGCAACGTTTTATAATTTTGTTTTAAAAACACTACATTTATTTGGCTTAAATGCAGAATTTACACATAAAATAGTATCTTCTCGACCAAAGTTTTACAAAATTTACACATTAAGTAGTATTTTTCGAGTTGCAGTTACCGAGTTTGTAGTTTATAAGTATAAGATCAGAGTTAACACATAAAGTAGCCTTCTCTGTACATTTATTTGGCTTAAATAATTTACACATAAAATCTTATCTATCTTATCGACCAAAATTTTACATAATTTACACATTTAGTAGCATTTTTCGCGTTGCATTTAGCTGGGCTTGCACAATGTAAGTATTAGATCAGAGTTAACACATAAAGTAGCCTTCTCTGTACATTTATTTGGCTTAAATAATTTACACATAAAATCTTATCTATCTTATCGACCAAAATTTTACAAAATTTACACATTTAGTAGCATTTTTCGCGTTGCATTTAGCTGGGCTTGCACAATGTAAGTATTAGATCAGAGTTAACACATAAAGTAGCCTTCTTTGTACATTTATTTGGCTTAAATGCAGAATTTACACATAAAATAGTATCTTCCCGACCAAAGTTTTACAAAATTTACACATTAAGTAGTATTTTTCGAGTTGCAGTTACCGAGTTTGTAGTTTATAAGTATAAGATCAGAGTTAACACATAAAGTAGCCTTCTCTGTACATTTATTTGACTTAAATAATTTACACATAAAATCTTATCTATCTTATCGACCAAAATTTTACAAAATTTACACATTTAGTAGCATTTTTCGCATTGCATTTAGCTGGGCTTGCACAATGTAAGTATTAGATCAGAGTTAACACATAAAGTAGCCTCCTCTGTATAGTTGTTATTTACACATAAAGTAGTATCTTCCGCCACAAAAGTTTTGCGAAATTTGCACATAAAGTCGCATTTTTCGCTCTGCATACGGCTTATATGAATGATGTATCTTCTGCATATTTATATGTCGTCTAAATTCGGAAATTTACAGTAAAGCAGTATCTTCTGCAAGCTAAAAATCAATTAAATTATGAAGAAAACCATTCTCAAGCCTGTACAGAGTTAACACATAAAGTAGCCTCCTCTATACATGTCTTTGTCTATAATGCAGAATTTACACATAAAGTAGTATCTGCCCTCATTAAAGTTTTCCGAAATTTGCAAATTAAGTAGCATTTTTCGTTTTGCAGACGGATTTTATGAATGACTGCACCATTAACACATAAAGTAGTATCTTCTGTATATTTATTTGTCGTCTAAATGCAGAAATTTACACATAAAGTAGTATCTTCTGCAAGCTAAAAATCAGTAATAAAAAGAAAAACATTAATTTCCTACCTTAGTTTTTACCCATGTTTTTATAATCGCTGAAATGTGTTCGGTTTAACGATGTGAATCAGGCGACACAACAATTGGTAATGGGTAATGTAGACAGGCAGCGATAGAGTGACGAAATAATTTTAAATCTAAACATGTGGGTCAGCGGCGTAACATAAGTATACTACATGGTTATCTTTATTTCCACTAACATCGAGATTATAGAAAATATAACGGACCACGAAAATAAAAGTAATAATCATTATTTATAAAATATATTATAATCAAGAAAAACAACAACGTCTTATAATTTTGAATAGAAATAGAAAAACACAAAAAATCTTCTGAAACAAAAAATAAATTAACATTTAAGATATTTGTATTATAAGACATAAAAACAATACACAAATTATAAAGTAAAAAAAAACCTAAGAACCCAAAGTACACTTTATTTTCAGATATATTGCGCAATTATTTATCAGAAAAAAATCTCAAAATGTCCTATTGTAAAAATCAATGTCAAAATCCAATATGTACAGTAATGGTCTACTAATTTTCTAAAATTTTGGAAAGAATCTAAATATATTTGAAAGTTAACACATGCAAACGAACTGTGTGCATGTGTAAGACATTATTTACAATTTTATCTACTGGCTATCAACAATTGAAAGGAATCTGCCAATAATGGTTATAAAATTTATGTGTCCAGAGATCGGAAGAGGCTTGTACTTTGATTACAGCAATAGACTTTTTAGAATCAAAGATTAGCAACAATGGAAAACTGACAAGAGCAAAAAATCAATACAAGTTTACTACCAAATAAATAGAACGTTACTATATAGAAAGCCTAATATAATATTATGAAAGTGAAGCATGGCCCATGACCACAAACCAAGAAAACAAAGTATCGACATCTGAAATTAAACATTTAAGAGAAAAATCGCAAAGGAAAACAACTATGGCGATTCCAAATATACTGTACCTTAATACCTATTTGATTAAGCCGTTTAACGCTATTGAAAATTAAAATTGCTTTAAATTTACATTACCTTGATCTAGGTTGATGGATGACATATTTGTAATTTAAGGTAAATGTGATTTTCCCCCTTGACATTGGCCTTATTGAACAACTCAAAAGCTCTGAAATAAGTGGAGAAATGGTTGATCTGGCAACAATGTCAATAATTAACTTTATGGTGACAAACACTAGGTGGCTGCCACGTAACCGCCACTTTGAAGTGGTGAAAAATATTTTGGATTAGTTCCAGCTGCCACTTATTTGATGAAAGTAACTACAAAGTGGCATATTTTTAGTTTCTGCAACTTTAAAGTTTTTTTTTTCCTGACGCAGACATATTTGTAACCATTTTTAAGATCGCCATTATGAGAAAATATAAAGGTGCTATTTAAAAAAAATTTTTTCGTCCATATGGCTTCAATGCAATAAAATTCAAATATATTTAATGATTTTAATTAACCAAGATTGATAAAAAATACTGTTTAAGGCCGCTAAACAAATAATTTCAAAGATAAAAAATTTACAGATTTTAACTATTTAATTAAATATAGAGTATTCCAATGGCGCGTGCCCATATTTCGAGCTACAACACCTATATTTGACAGTAAACTTCCAATCGTCCAACTTTTTGCCTATTAGAATTCCTGAATCAATATTTTTATAACACATTATTCAATATGTACCTACTTATTAGTTTACTAGTTATGTCAAGTTAGAGAATAAGCAAGGAGGATGGGAGAAATAATTTGCAGGATGGAGATCGAGCTACAAATATCAATCAAAAGACAAGGGCAGTAAGCGAAGTTCAGCGTTTAGTGTCGGCCACCGTGCCACCACGTTTCTGCCACGTTATCGCCACGTTTTCGCCACGTGGCGTAAACGTGATTATATAAGTTCCGGAAACGTGACTGAAACTCAGAAAGAGCATCAATCAAAAGCTGATCAGTCAAATAATAAAGGAAATACCATTTATACCAGAAAAGATAACGAAAAATGTAGCAGTAACAAAAATATATGGAAAGATAAATGTGAGAAAGCCGAGAAGGAATACGGCAGATCTGTAAACGGTCTTTACAAAAACATACCACATATTCCTTAGACCAAAATAAGTCGATTTAAGTAAAATTACCTTAGTACAAAGTTGCTTCGTTTGGGCGCCAGAGGGCCTTGAAGTTACAATTTTTAAATCGTTTTTCCCATATAAATTTAAAACGGCATATGCGATTTTGCTGAAATTTGGTATATTGGTAGAGTTTTATGTGGCAAAAAAAAATGGTATTAAAATTTTGTCCGATAATAATACATAGGCGTAGAACTTGATTTTTTAAATAATTGCACCTTTAAATATTCTACGCCAATGGAAGAAAAGGAGTTTGAGTATGAAATTTAGATTGCGCAACTCATTTACTTTAAAAAAGGTACTCTTGATAAGACTCGATTACTATCATGGTTTTGACGAAATTTGCATTTTAGTAATTTTAGAACATAAACAATAATTATTAAAATACAAACTTTGTTAAAACCCTGAGACTAAATCGAGTGTTATCAAGGGTACTTTTTTGTAGTAAATGAGTACCCAATCCAAATTTCATACTCAAACCCCTTTTTTGCCATTGGCGTAGAATTTTTAAAGGTGCAATTATTTAAAAAATCAAGTTCTACGCCTATGTCTTATTATCGGACAAAATTTTATACGATGAAAAACATAAAAATGTACTTTTTTCATATCTTCTTCAACACTACTAATCGAGACTTTTAACAAAAATACGATGTACGATTTTTTGAGGAATATTAATTATTTTTCTGCAATACGTATACAAAAATATTTATTGTTGGTTTCCATAGTTTCATCTAAATAAAAATATTGTCAAGTTTTAACACCTAATCTCTTGTTAACGATTGAAAGTATTCTATCTGACTCAATAATTAAAAAAACAAATGCGTGGTTTATTAATATGGCTGTACAATATACCAATGCAGAATATACCGATATGTTACTGACATTAGGATTTTGTGAAGGAAATGCTCGAGACAGTGTCAGTGGGTACTCTGAAACGTTTCCAAATCGTCGTGTACCTAGCCACCCAACTTTTGCTGCTGTTGAGAGACGTCCTCGGGAGACCGGTTCCTTTGCTCCCAACACTGTTGATAATGGAAGAGAACGTTTTGTAAGGATTCCTGAAGTTGAAGAAGACATTTTAGAACGTGTTGAAGAAGATCCAGAATTAAGCACCAGACGAATTGGAAGGGAACTAGGAGTAAGCAAAGATGTCGTTCATAAAGTGCTTAGAGAACAATTGCTATATCCATACACCATAAGAAGCCAGTACAAGAATTATTAGTCCATGATCCTCAAATTCGTTTGGGTTTTTGTCGATTTGTTAATATGCAAAGAGAAAGAGATCCCAACTTTGTCAAGAAGGTTCTCTTTACCGATGAAGCGGGTTTTACAAGAAGAGGTATAACTAATACCCATAATGAACATGTTTATGCCGTTGAAAATCCGCATGCAATAAAGGTAAACCATTTTCAGCACGAATTCAAAATTAATGTGTGGGCTGGAATAATTGGTAATTTCATTGTTGGTCCTGTCATACTTCCACGAAGATTAACAGGAGAAAATTATTTGATTTTCTACAAAATACGTTGCCAGAATTGTTAGAAGATTTACCTCTCCAACTTCGGAGAGATATGTGGTTTATGCAAAATGGAGCTCCACCACATTTTTCTTTAAACGTTAGAAACCACTTGAATGAACAATATCCACACAAATGGATAGGCAGAGGTAATGACGCACCTGTAAACTAGCCACCACGTTCCCCAGACCTAACACCGATGAATTACTTTTTAAGGGGACATCTGAAATCCACAGTTTACAGGGAACCTGTAGAAAATGAGGAACAACTCTGGCAACATATTCAAGATGCAATAAACAATCTTAGAGGTGATGAAGAAGTTATGGAAAGGATACATTTTAATTTTCTTTGACGTATAAATCTTTGTATGCGTGAAAATGGTGAACATTTTGAACAATTTTTGAAAAATCTCTATTTTGATTGTTGTAAATAATTTTTTTTTGTGAAACCTATACACTCTAAATTATTAAAAAATCAAGTTCTACGCCTATGTATTATTATCGGACAAAATTTTAATACCATTTTTTTTGCCACATAAAACTCTACCAATATACCAAATTTCAGCAAAATCGCAGATGCCGTTATAAATTTATATGGGAAAAACGATTCAAAAATTGTAACTTCAAGGCCTTCTGGGGCCCAAACGAAGCAACTTTGGTACTAAGGTAATTTTACTTAAATCGACTTATTTTGGTCTAAGGAATATGTGGTATGTTTTTGTAAAGACCTTTTACAGACACCCAGATATAATAAACGAAATAGCACAAAAAAGATGAAAATGCTACTAGAACTAAAAGAAAAAGCAAAAAAATAGATAAGAATGTATTTCGGTTTTTCTTTCCTGTGTTTTTCTTAGGGGTTTATATTTAAATCTGAAGGCTGGCTCATGAGCTAGAAGGTGCCTATCTACTTAGGAGTATGCACAATGTAAGTAAGGCCTAAGTGCCGTGGAATAACCCACCCTTCACACGTTACAGATACAGGGGTTTATAGAGTTAATTCTAAATTTTTATTTGGTTTTTCACGCACAAATATGTTGGATATATGTTTTGGCGTTTTCTAAAATATTTTGAACTTGCAAATGTAAAGATGGATGCTGATCATCTTCTTTAACAGTATTGACATTATGAGGAGTTACAGTACATATTGAAATTTGACAAAATAATATATAGTTAACCAATGATTTTAATTATTGTTATGCCATTAAATTGTTGCAACCTATATACAGGTTTTAGTTTATTTTCAATAAAATTGTTTACATTAAAGTCACCTATATGATTTTGTTATGCAAAAAGATTTAATGAAACCCAATTTGGAATAAAGTTTAGTTAAAAACTGAATTTCGAACATTAACACAGTCTACGGTTGGTGAAGTTTTACAAATTGTTCAAGTGTCTTTGGTATATGGTTGATGTAAGGAATTTTATATTTACAAATCACTCTCGCACATAAACATTTTAAGGTCAAATAATTTAGAACGAGTATGTCGGATTGTTGATGTTCCCTAAATACCGAAATTGTGTCAAGAGGTACTATACCTGCTGCATTCGGTTGATCTATGTGTGCACCGTACTGCAAAAGTAATTTGGCCAACTGAAAATTAAATTATATTAGAATCTAGTAGTAAAACTATAGTCGAGGCATTGAAGCATTAAAAAGACCAAAAGTTTAGAATTTTTTAGACTAAGACGTATCAGAATGCGGTTTTTTGCATTCGTTTCCAAAAATTTTTTTGGAAAAAAATATTTTTACTTTTTATCTTATTTTTGACCTCCGAGCAATTACTACTAGAGGGAGTCTTCCCCCCCCCCTTCCCCGCACTAAATTTTGTTAGCAACATCTACTCCCCCTGAGGGGGAAAATACCTCTTCTGTAATTGGCTTATTTATTCAGCGTTGCCAAGTTTGACAGCACCAGTTCTGACACTTTCTGACACATGTCAATTTCTTATTTGTATTTTACGGAAAATATTATTATTTATAACGTTGTAAGGGTTGTAAATGTATATTTAAGGTTTATTATCTCTAATAATATGGTGAAAACATGCTTTATGTGTGACACAACCTAATTATCAGAGGCGGTGCATTAGGCAATCACCTTTAATTTGCAAATAAACTTTCTTATTTTCTTATCGAAAAATTAAAATTAAGAGCAAGTAAACTCCAGCTAAGTTCGTCTTCATCCGTCTCATAATGAATATAGTAAAGGTTAATTACTTATTATTATTTTAATATCACATCTTTGTAAAGTTTATTGTTATTTTTTTTTAGGTTTCCTTTTCTTGATATGAGAAAGAAATACATGGTTCCAAAATATAGGAATTCAACAAGTGACCACCGGAAATAACTTTTTATGGTAATGAACACTTTTATTACAGACCTCAGGGGAGGAAAATATTAAAGAAAAATGCAATTTCAACGAAAGAAGTATAATAATCAATCCTGTCACTACTTCTACACTATATTCATCTGCTACTAAAATAATAAAACAGCAAGTAATAAAGAAACTTAAGTTTCTTTCAAGAAGAATGTTTAAGGAAAAAGGCATAGCCATTTTTTTGTTGACACTTTTTTTAACTAATCTAAAAGACTAATTTTGTGTAATGTTTAAATTTTCATTTTTTGTACTTAATTTGTTTTAGGTTTAAACAAAATGAACTTCTAAGATATGCATGGAATATCCCAAAAGAGCTAAGGAAGGTTTTAAAATTCTTAAGAAAACTATTCAGAGCCAAAAACATAAAATAGTCTTCCTGTCCAAAATATAAATAGGTATAAATATTTAGATATTATGAGTGATTTTTTATTCTATAAATAGAACATAATTTGCTTCTAAATCACTACCTAATGAACGATATTATATAGTACAAAACTAAACAAGAATATCACATTATTTATGTTTTTTATAATTTCCTTAAAAAACGTCCCAAAAAAATGTGAATATTTATTATTGGAGTTTACATCGTTATGCTAAAACAATACTAGAACAACTTAAATAATGTGGATTTTGACTATTTTGAGTTATGCAGATCATTATGATCTAAAAAAATGTTTGTCTGGTGCTATAGTCAGGTATAAAAACATTCATTTATTTAAACACAGTTGCAATATACATTTTATTTAGTTTTTAAGTTAAAACCTATTAGGACTTTGAAATGACTTTTTTCGTTTGATGTGAGATTAATTATTCTACATTTTTGTTGGTGAAATATGATATATTAAGATGTCTTACTGTTTTCTCTGATTATCTAAAAAGTTAGAACAATATACAAAGACTGTTATAACAAAAAAGAAATATATCTTTACTTAAACACACAATTAGTCAGTTGTTCAATTGTACGATAATTTAAAGCAGAAATCCAGAAAACTTTAAAAATGTGTTTTTACTATAACAAGGACATAATTATTAAAAAAACTTGGCACATTAACATTGACGATAGTTTTTTATAATATATATTAAGGTGGGTCCACATTGCTCGCGAACAGTGCGAACGAACACAACAAGCGCAACATACGGACCAAACAGCACGAATGAAACAAAAATCATATTCGACGTGTTTGGGCTGTTTGCAGTGTTCCTCATGCTTGAAATCACCCAAAACACCTGTTTTGACTGTTAGGTCGGGTATCGGTACATCAAAGGGATGTATATTGCGCGTGCGAGCACAGTTGACGGCGGTTTGGTGATTTTTTTGTTTTTACTGTTTGCTTTCAAGTACGAGCGTACGAGCAAGGCGCAGTGCAATATGTAGTGGACTGAATAATACATTTTTAAGCTAGTTGGGCTTTACGAAACTTATTCTGTTTTGTGGGATCCACAACATAAATTTTATAAGCTAAATAATAAAAAAAAGGTATTCTTTCTTAGGATATGTGGGCCAACTAAATTACAGTAGAACTCCAATTATCCGAATTAATGGGGACCGGGACCCATTCGGATAATCAAATATTCGGATAATCGGATTTTTTTTAAAAAAATTGCCATTGGAGAGAATAAAAGCTACGTTTTGATATTGCACTATTTTTTTTATTGAATTAAATGAAAGAAACATGAAATTTTCACATGTTTTAAATATAAATAAAATGTACTTATGTACAAGTTTAGAAATAAAAATCATCAAGTTAAGACAAGTCAAGTCAAGACTTGACGCGCATTTGTGATTCGGATAATCGGCGATTCGGATAGTCGGAGTTCGGATAATTGGAGTTCTACTGTAATTATTGTTTCAAAATCGGTAGTACTCATGCGACAAAAATTATTAAAAAATATCTGTTTGCAAATCATGGAGAAGATTACTTTCACTGTATTTCGATCTATTATTAAAAATATTTGACATCCAACACCGTCTTTTTGTCACTTTTTTTCCTGTTCTCTCCATTTTATAATAATAATTAACGCACTGGCAGTCGCCGTTAATAATAAATTGATCATCCATGTCGGAACCTCAAGAGCGCAAACACAGTGTGGACACTATTGCTTGCGGATAAAACGATCTTGACAAACAGAAGAAACACAAAAAGCAACGTTCCGGAAGCAGCATAAGCGCGATGACGAGCACGAGCGTGAGCACGAGCAGGAGCAATGTGGACCCACCTTTATACAAATCACAATGAACCACACAAAATTACATTATTAATAATTTAGCAATAAAAAAGTTAAGTGACATTAAAAGTTGAGTTTCTCGAAATACGTTTTTTAAATTGTCTCAGTACCTACCTAGTATTTTTCTAGCACAATGATATTAAATGAATGTGCATTGTGTGATATGTTATATTTTAGGAATAAAATGATATATTTTTTTGCAGGTTTCTGTTAACAACGATTCCAAGAACTTTTGAAAATATTATTAAAACGGCCTTTGCAAATATAATTCTCAATTAGGAGCTTTTGATCTAACATTAAATTTTTATTCTCCATAAGGTTACAGCTTCCTAAGAAGAAAGTTTAACAAGACATACCAGACCCAAAATATCAAAATTTTACCAACCTATTGATGGTTCTACTGGTTTCCATAGGAAAATTCTTTTCGAAACTACTAAAAGAAAAGTGGCAGAGGCAACCGAAGAAGGCAAAAAAGTCTTTTACAAAACAAAAACTAGAAATTTGTTTAAGAATCTAATTATTGTTTGAAGTTTTACCATTAATAATTTTTAATAATGATTTAAGATTATGAAGTTCTATTATGTATTTTACTCTTTGATAACCTATGTTTAAATTTTTATTAGGACCAAAATTTTCATTTCAACTACAAAAACCCTCATAATATTAAAAAGGAGAAAAACGTTAGATTAGTTATGTTCAGGAATAAACTCTTTAAACATTTATTTACTTAAAATGTGTTACTTTTAGAAGGTGTGTTTCATTTTATTATCTGTTGTATTTTCAAATTGATTTTAATATTAATCTTATCTATTTATTTATTTTTTACATTCACATATATTTTTTCATTGAAAAACGTTTATTAGCTTATTAAATATAATGAATTCATGTTGTTTTATTATATGCTTGCATGAATGATTGCTTTTATTTCCTTTTAAAAATGAATTTCGAAGATAAAGCCGAAACGGTGAGTAAAAATAAAAAATTAGATGAAAGTGACGATATTTCCTGGAGCTTTCATTTACACGCTCCTTTTTCTAGCCATCTACACCTGAGCCAGCAAGATTCGTCTTCCCTCCATCCTTACATTCTCCAGATTTACAGAGAAAACGCCGTCCTCTTTAACATATCCAGACCTTCTTTGACGGGTACTATACCACTACATTATCAGCTTTATTTGTTATCCCGAGCAATTTAAATGCATTCGTAATTGCTCATTCTCATCTCTTCTCTTGTAGATTCCGTACTCAGTTTTCTTATTTTTAGTTACGTTACGTTTATTTTCACAGCTTTAATTCTATAATGCTGTAACGCTACAATATGGATCCATTTTTGTGGTTTATACTATTTAATGTTATTCGTAAGTGACCAACCTATTATAATAATTAAAGATTATTGTATTACAGGCCTGAAGATGTTCCTGTAAGGCCGAAACTAGTCGCTCCTGTATTTATTTATAATAAAATTGATTTTAAGGTTCTATTCTTCAATTGAAAAAATTAGACCTTTACAGTAATTTTGTTTCATTTCCTGCATTAGACACATATTCATTTTAAAAATAGTAAAATTAGCAAATTTTTTAGTTTTTTTTTAACAATTAAAACTGAACAAGAAGGATGTTTACCTTCCCCCTTGTGCCCGCTTCCTCACTTCCTCTACAGATGTTGCTAACACAACAATCGCCTACAAACTCGTTTTCACGCTCCCTCTATTAGTAACTGCTCGGAGTTTTTCACAATGTTGTCGGTCCTGTATCGAGTTGCAAAATCGCCTCCGATCGGTACTTTATGTTACCATAAAGTTTAAAAAAATGTTATAATAGACTTAATTTAATCTTACCCAATCTGAATAACTGTATGGTAAGGTACTAACAAGTAACGGTGTAATTCCTCGTTCATTTCTTGCATTTACCGGTGCTCCACATTCTAATAAACATCTGATCACATTTTCTCTAGGAAATATCATCTGAAACATAAACAAAAACTTTAATGTTCGCTACAAAATACAGGGTGTTTCCGAACTTGGCGTCCAAATTTGTAGGGGTGGTAGTTCGCATAATTTGAGACCGATTCGCAGATTTCATTTTTCCAAAATATTTAAAATAAAAATATTAAAAATTTTAAACAATCGGCTACGTCTTTCGATACCGGCCTGGCGGAGGGAGAAATTTGCAAATCGCACCTGTTTTTGAGTTGTAAATCCCGATGAGTAACCTATCAGGCGACGCTCAGGGTAGGACCCGCTTTTTGATTTTTTTATAATGGCTCTATTTTGTTTGTTATAATTTTTTTAGAAAAATGAAATCTGCCAATCGCTCTCAAATTATGAGAACTACCACCCCTACAAATTTGGACACCAAACTCGGAAACACCCTGTATAATATATCAACAGTCAGTAGCTATTTCGATTATATTTTAAAAGCAATTTTTATTTTAATATTTTAATTCTGAAATGCTAAAAAATAACTCAGGAGTACCGCAAGAAAGTATATTAGGGCCGCTTCTATTTATCATATATTTAAATGACATTAATTATATTGAGCGTGACTTTATTAATCTATTTGTAGATGATACACTGGTAGCATGTTATGGGTATGAATCCCGGAAAAAAGCGCAGAGGAAATAAGCGCACAGGAAATATCCGCACAGAAAAAAGCGCACAGACATATAAACGCACAGGAAATAAGCGTACGTGGAAAGATGCGCACACGGAAAAAACCGCACGGGTATGAAAGTGCACAAGGAAAAAAGCGCAAATTGAAAAAAAGCGCAAAGTACATGTAGTTTATATCTCGTTAAGAATAGGATACAGAACAACTGAAGATTCTCTGAATAAAAATAAAAAATTAAGTTCTATGAATACATAGTCAAAAATTATATCGGTGTGAAAAGTAACCACCAAATATGCGGACTTATATCACAGATATTATGTACACAGAACAACAAATGCATGGGAATGGCATTCTGATTTTAATCCAACTTCTATAATTCTCAACCGAGTTTATACCATTTTGTACATATTTTATTAAATTGTCAAGCTCAATCATAATGTTAAAATTAACCCAACAAACTATTTACAAAAAATTTAAAAAGTACCACAATAAAAAAATAATTTAAGTCAATTAAAAATTTTAGATTATAGGAACAATATTTGATCTAAATATGTTTTTGTAAAAGTTATGCATTTTCAGTATTTATCATTCTAATGAATATCTATAATCTTACAAATATTTTTATTCCTAGAAATATTGCTTAGCATTTTAATCCCTTTGAAGCGCGATTATGCCGTAATTGAATGGGTACTTATAGCAGGTACCAGCTTTGTGACGGAAGTGATCGCCCCGAGATTGTTAAATTATTTTTTAATAATAATCGATTATTATTTCATTTATTCGGCGTTGTGACATTATTACATTTCTTGGAATTTATTATTTGCAGAATTAAGGCAGGTAAGTAAAGGCGCTTATAAATAGACTACGGAATTTAAAGTTAATTTATTGTGCTCTAATTCTTGAACAAGTTAAGTTGAATTTTTGTAATAAACGAAATGGAGTTTTCGTCTAGTCAAAAAGGCAAGCGAGTTCTTATTTACAATGGTTTTGAATATATACATTTTCGCACAACAAATGGGATAGATACATGGAGGTACCGTGAAAATCGACAAACTAAGTGCCATTCCTTAATAAAAACGAAGGACAAGGACATTGTACAAGATCCAGGCAGTCATTGTCATGATTCATGTCCCCAAAAAGCAGAAGCAAATATCGCCAGAAGTCAAATGCGAGAAGCCATGACAGCGGTGAATACTACATCTCGCAATGTTATTGGAGATAAATTATCAGGAGTAAGCAATGATGCACTTGCTTATATTCCAAAACAATCGTCTCTTGCCAGAATACTTCGAAATTATGGAGCAGAGAAGCACTTGCCAAATCCATCTACGATGCATTTTGCAATTCCTGACAAATACTCGGACTTAGTGCTGCATGACTCTGGAGTCGAAGATCCAAACAGAATTTTAATTTTGGGAAATCGCGAGTTATTGTGCGAATTAAACCAAGCCACTCTATTCGGCGACGGAACATTTGATAAAGCACCAACGATGTTTTATCAACTTTATACTTTGCATGCCAAAGTAGGAAATTCGTATCCACCATGTGTGTACATATTGTTACAAACTAAGAATGAAGCAACATACCTACAGATGTTTCAAATTGTAAAAGGGTTAGTTCCAAGCATGGCGCCCCAGAAGATACTTTTAGATTTCGAGAAAGCCTGCATGAATGCTGCAGGGCGAACTTTTCCAGAAGCCAAAATTAAGGGATGTTATTTCCATTTGTGTCAAAGCCTTATAAGAAAAGTTAATGCAGTTGGTTTAAAATCGGAATTCGAATCGAACATCGACATAAAATTAAAACTAAAATTCTTGGCAGCATTATCGTTTGTGCCGTTAGAAGATGTACGAGATAATTTTAATAGTCTTGCAGAAACTTTTCCTGATGAAGAGAGATTTAACGACGTCCTTACATATTTTTTTTTTCAACTTATATACAAGGTGCCGCCGGAAGAAGTCCACAATTCCATCCGAGAATATGGAACCATTACGATGCCGCTCTTGATGAAACGCCAAGAATGACCAATTGTTGTGAAGAGTTTCACAATGCCCTTAATTCCATATTTCATTGCAGTCATCCGAGCATATGGATGCTTTTCGATGGATTGAGAAGAGATTTAGCATGCCACAAACTTACATTGGTGAACTCCCAAGCTAACAAACTGGAGCCCACCAAAAAGAAATGCAGACAACTGTACGCGCTTGTAGTCAGTTCTGTAGAAAAGTATCAAGAAACAGATAACAAAGTATCTTATTTAAGGAGAATAGCCAACTTACAGTAGTACGTCTATTAAAGTGCGTTTATCTTTTGTTACATTATTCATTTTTTCGTTTTAGATGTATTAATATGGAATAAAAATATATTACACTAAAAACCTATATGCATTTTACGTTTGTACCTACATTATTATATAAAAAAAATATAAACACAAATCCATGAATATATTAGTACAAATAGTTGGCGATTATAAAATTAAAATAAAATCAACATGGAATTGCAAAAACATTTAGGTTTTAAAGATAAAATATGAAATATGTACCTATAAAACTCGCCATTTTACAAAAAATGCAAAATCATTACAATCGGAATTTCATAAATATAATTATTACAAATCGTTAACGATTATAACATTATAAATGAAAATAATGATCAAAAATCATAATAGAACTCCAAAAATATTTCGAACCCAAAACCAATTCTATTTATCAATAAAAAAATATAGTACACTTGTCTGAATTTTAAAATTAGCGCGAAACAAAAATAAAACCAGTCTTCAGTAACTTACTATACTAAATTCAACTTTAATATTTCAAAGGTGTAAACAAATACATGCAACTGCAGCGTAATTCTAAAAGATATCAGGGGCGCATTAGGTATTGTGGTATAACAATAATTGTAAAAAATATTTATATTTTATATTTATTTAGAAATGTAAATAAAAATTTGAAAACTCACCAAAAAAAACCACTTTACAAACAGAAATATTTATAAAATTACCAAACATTAAAATAATTGAAAGGCAAATAACAATATTATAAAATAGATATCTACTCAGTGTCATAATCGCTAGAGGAACTACTGTTATTTAAAGTTATTACAAGCTGCTCATCACTTCTTCGTTCAATTATATTGTCAAACTCCCACATTTTGGGCTCTATTTTAAGTCTTACATGCTCAACACATTTCTTCCACTTTTCTGGAGTAATATTTAAAATGGCCTCTTGAAAAATATTTTTCATATCCGAAAGTTTAAAAGTGGTATTTTTATTGGCTACAAATTGTTTCACATCTGCCCAAATGAGCTCTATAGGACTAAATTCGCAATGGTAGGACGGTAATCTTAACACAATTTTGTTATGTTCTTTTGCCATTTCGTCGATGATGTAACTGTTATATTTATTTTTATGTTGATTTACTATACGTAATAATTGGGCTTTTATCATTGAATCATCAAACGAAATATTTTTGGAACGAAGCCAATTTTGAATATCAGCTTTTTTGGAGGCCGTATTTGGGATTTTTTCTAACTTTCTGGAATGATATGGTGCATGTCTAGTACAATAACAGAATTCTGCTCTAGCTTGGGTAGTATGTTTGAAAACCATTTTTCAAAAGATGGGCCATCCATTTCTTCATGGTAGTCGCCACTTTTCTTCGACTCAAATGTCCATAGACCATCTGGAAGAAAGCCATCGCTGCTTCCTATATGGCATACAATAAGTCTTTTGCCTTTGCCTAAAATTTAATCAAAATTATTAGGCAACATTTTTACGAAAATTATCTTTTACTCACCTGTAGGATGTTTTAAACCTGTTAAAAGACTATCTAAAAACGCATGCCTACTAGATGTTACTGATTCGTCAACCCAAACTTTAGATTTTGTGTGGCCTGCATTTATCCAAGTTTCGTCCAGATAATAAATATAGTTTTGTTTTGATCTCTATAGTTTCTAATTTGTATTAAGTAGTTCCTTCTCCAACATTTTATTTCATCCCGATCCATTAAAAAGCTGTTTCTTTGACGTTTATTGAATTTAAAATTAAATTTTTTTATTGTTTTATAAAACGTTCTTTTAAAATTAGGCAAATCTAAATCGTCATTAACAGCTTTGAGTACTTTATCAATGGTAGGTATTTCGTTTCTAAAGAAAAAGTCGTGAACCTTTCGGCGGATAGAATTTTTGTTAAAATCCGAAAGTGTATCAAATGTATTTTTTCGATTCAGAATTTCTTTTTGGCGCAGAAAAAGTTACAGATTTTTCATATTCACCAATCACTTTTCGAACACTGCGACTACAGACACCTGTTTTTAGTGCTACCCTTGCAGCTATTTCACCTAAGAGTATTGTTGGATCAAGCTGTAGTTCGTTCTTGTAAACGCTCAAAATCATTTCTTTTGTATTTATATCAAAATGAGTTTTTTTTTGGTCGTTTTCTTGGTGGGCTCAATTTATTATTTATATTGAACGGATATCTGCTGAATCAGTGCTGGACATTTTCAGAGCTTATTTTTTTTAATCCAAGCGCTACAGCAAATACTTCGAAATAACTGAAAATTTACATTTTAATACCAATATAAAAATACCCAAACACAACCCTTCAAATATAACTTAATTATGAAAATCTTCAACTAAAATTTGTAGCCTATAAATTTTAAATAATTAACTGAAATATAACTCATAGAAAAATGCAAACCAAAAAAATCTAAACAATTAAAACCTAACACAAAATGTAAAATACTCTAAACATTAATGCGTCAACGCTAGACACGAAACAACTGATTTAAAGATTCGGCTCTGTACACCGCTCTATAAGTTGTAGTGGGAAGATCCTCGACTATTTGACCAATAGATGAGCACTGCGTCGGTAAGCACGTATGTAGCATGCGGCGATCATTGTTTACCTCGTTGGAATTTCGAAGTTGAATTTAGTATAGTAACTTACTTATAAACGTAATTTATTATAAAATATAAGGTTTGTTCCAACAACGATCTTGGAACAATACATAAACCAGTCCAAAACTTATTGTTGACAATCTGTCGACGACTAGTAATTGACAAGTTGTCGGGTATTGGTCGGGGATTGGAACTTAACTCGGAACTCGATTATGTTGGAACACATTTTTTAAATTCAACAGACGTATTATTACAATAATAAACCACAAAATAAAACTATGTAGGCTAAACTTGATTAACAAATACAAATCGGAACTGTCAGAGACAATAGATACAAATAATATAATTACAATCACGAAATGTTCAGTTTATTGCGGCTTTGCGCATGTCTTGACAATTCGTTCCTATTCAGACCCAGGAACTGATTTGACAGTACACAAATCGGTTTGTGATTAGTTTTGGTTGTGTTGGAACACTACGTTTTTGTACAGTTTTGAGTCTAAGGTTTGTTGGAACACGAACTCTAGACTGCGCAGAATCCGGACAGTACGCAACCTGATTTGGTTTATGTTGGAACAAACCTATTATGAAATAAAGTTATTATGACAGAATTCCAAAAACCTAACGTTATTCTACGAAGATTCTTAAATTTTGAAAATTTTTAGTTTAATTCAGGTTAAGGTCTATAATAAATAGATATTAATGATATAATCCCTAATTACCTTACAATATTCAAAGAAAATTGTTAAATTTGCAAAACTTTTGTCTAATTAATGTAACGGTCTATAATAAATAGATATTAATGATATAATCCATGAGTACCTAACATTATTCTAAGAAGATTTTAAATGTTAAAATATTAGGCACAGTTTGAGTTTAATTCGTGTCTTTATTTAAAACGGTTCGACTATCAATTCTTGTAAATGCCGTTTAGTGACCCTTTAATTATTTTCGAAAAATTTCGTAAATTTCGCCAACTTAAATGGGAAAAATGAGCTGCCAAACTGTTTAACATCCATGCATATGCAAATGAAATGCATGTTTCCGTTGCCTTCTGCTTGTTAAAAGACGAAATTGTACAAGTTACTTGAAACTGCAATGTGGCAACTTATAAAGAAAGAGATTGACGGCATGGGATTTATCCTGAATTAAAAATTATTAACAAAAAAGCAACTAATAAATGAAATAATAAGTACCTATCTTAATTTTATAATCCCCAGTAAAAATAAATGACCACTTGCAAATATTTCGTTTTAATTAAGATACACACTGTATAAGATAAGTAAAATATACACCCTCATCAGCATAATTTCCTCGCGGCGAAACTGATCGTTATGATTTTTTAAAAGCGGATTTGGTGAAATTAGTCTGTCCTCAACAATCCATAATGGCGATATAAATATTATAAACCGTATTAACTTTATTGTGAAAGTATTTTAAGAATTTTTTTAAACTTATCTAATACTTTTCACTTGGAATATAACAAACCAAGGTACAGATCTATTCTTTGTATCGTACTTATAATAATTCCGAAAAAATAACTGAGTAGATTCCTGAATTATCAGCAAAAATTATGGTAACTACCGTAAACAACGATAATTAAAGTTTTAATCAAACAACAAAAAATTGTAACAAAATATAAATATAAACTATATGCACTTTGCGCTTTTTTTCAATGTGCGCTTTTTTCCATGTGCGCTTTTATACCCGTGAGCTTTTTTCCGTGTGCGGTTTTTCCGTGTGCGCATATTTCCTCGTGCGGTTATTTCCTCGTGCGGTTATTTCCTGTGCGCTTATATATCTGTGCGCTTTTTTCTGTGCGCATATTTCCTGTGCGCTTATTTCCTTTGCGCTTTTTTCCGGTCACCTATGGGAATAACCTTGAGAAAATTTTAAATAAACTGATTTAAATATATTGAGAGTCTTAACACAGTTTTTAAATAAAAATAAACTTAATACTAAAAAAATGAAAGCAATGATTTTGGGAAGTAAATATAAATTAAATCAAATAAACTATAATAGATACATTAGAATTAAAAACGAGAATGTTGAATGGATTAATGAATTTATATACTTGTGCGAATTAAACCACGCCACTCTATTCGGCGACCGAACATTTTAGATAAAAATCTATTATTGAAACCTCACTGCGAATATGTATGGAAAAAAATATCAAAAAAGCTATTTTTCTTCTCAAGGATTGCTTCAAATCCAGTGGCGGCTCGTGGGAGGGTTCACAGTGACAGAATATAGGTATCAGTACAGATGTATGAAAAAGACTAGCTATAGCAACAAAATCTATTTTTATATGTGGATTACGTGAATTTAATGCTTTGCCTAGTGAAATTAAAACGAGAACCTCTCTACCTCAGTTTAAAAAATGTTTAATATAATTTATTTCCAGTCCATAAATTAAATTAACTAAATTAACTTTGTATGTTTACTTTAATATGTATTTATTTTATTTTATTTTATTTTAACTTTAGTACTAAATGTCTTACTTTTATTACTGATTTTATTACTAATTCTATCAAGATTTTATTTTTTATTTTATTTACTCAACTGAATTTGTGCAGACTGACGATAATATGTAATATTTAAAAAAAAAAACTACTATGTATTAGGACTTCCTATATTAAATAAAGATTCTATTCTATTCAATAGGATATTTTTTTGTTTTTGCTTAAATTGCTTAAAAAATAATGTCCAATACTTACAACTGGCTCTTCGTCCATGAAATAATTAGATTTTATAACATTAAATTTTGAAACGCATAAATGTAATATGGTATCGTCTACGATGACACATCTAATATTTTTCTTTAAAAAATCAGTTATAATTTGTTTCGCTCGCTGTATTTCTTCTTCGGTTGACATCGTTTCAACCATAAGGTATATCAAATGAGTAATACATTTCAACATTTTGTCGAAAAAGTCTGCTTGCCTCTTATATACAGGTCGGATAGTCAAAAGTTTTCGAATTTCTGTAAAAAAGTTAGTAAAACAATTATTAGATATCATTTTAGGGTAAATTTGAATCTGACCGACTTTTGTATCATTTGAAGCAAAACATTTTGTGTACTTACCAACAATATCATCAGTCATAAGATTAAATACAGAAATAACGTCATGAAATCTGCGATGAGTATTCGGTTTCTCACTCATTTGTGATCTAATATGATAATCCATCATCAGTCTTACTAGCGCTTGTGCAGAAAAGCATGTATCAGTATACAAAATTGAATCTTTCTCTATTCGAATCTGTAAAGCCCTTCGCCACAGATCTATGCAACGCTGATAACGCATTACGTCTGCATACGACGCTCCTCGGTACATTAGCCTAAAAGTATAAATTAATGTCAACAAAATACATATGAAAAAAAAAAATAATAATAAAACACAGACATATGTCACAAAATAGGAGCGACCGTTTATTATTATCTTAACAAGCCATTAAAAAAACCTTCTGCAAATATATTTATAAAATCACAATCAGCAAAGAGGTTTAAATCATTTATATACAAGATAAAGTGGCCCCAAAACGCTATCTTGGGGTACACCAATGTTAATATCCTTTTCAGCAGATATATTATTATTAACTTTTACTCTTTGTTTTCTTCCAAATAAGTAATTAGTAAACCAATTCAAAATACAACTATTAATGCCATATCCAGTAAGTTTCTTTAAGATAATATCCGAGAATACCGATCAAGGAGAAGCGACAGCTTGGTGTTTTCAGTGTACCGTTTTGTAACGCGCATGTGCGAAAATAAGTTGTGTATCACTCAAAATTATGTTATCTGTCAAAATCAGTCCAAGTTGTGTTTAGTACGTGAATAGAATAGAATAAAATATAATTTATTTGCTTAAATAAACTCACAGCAGTTTTTAGTATCGTCAAATATCAGAAAACAATAAAATTTATATATACATTACATTTTATATTTATATAGAAAACAATTTGGTGACGTCAACTTGACATTTTAGTTAAGAAATTTTTCGTGTTGCAAAATTACTTAAATCAGCCTCATAAAATTCTTTGATTGAATAAACTGCTAGATAAAATAATAATTCCTTGATCTTTTTTTTGAATTTATATTCATTAAAAAGCTTAAACTGTGGGGGAAGTTTATTATATAGTTTAATAGAGTTGCATATAAAGCTTTTATCAGTTAATGTTAGTCGGTGTTGTGGTAATAACAATTGTTCTCTTGACCGAGTGTTGTGCTCATGGGTATCTCCTAGTAGTATAGGATTTATTTTATTTGTTTTTACATATAATAAACATTCTAATATATAAAGAGATGGGAGTGTCAATATTTTTTGTTCCTTGAATAATGGCCTACATGACTCTAGATGAGGCCTTTTTGTTATTGTACTGCCGCTTTTTGTAATATGAATATTTTTTGCCAATCTACAGAATTTCCCCATAGCAGTATCCCATATGACAGGTGGCTATGAAAAAGACCCATATAGGCCGTTCTACAGACTTCGTTTGTAGTATACCATGATAATTTTCTGATTAAAAATAGCGTGCTAGATAGAGTTTTTGATAGACTCTCTATATGCTGTTTCCAATCAAGTTTATTATCTAATGTTAATCCTAAGAATTTTGTTGATTTAGTTTGCTGAGGTATATCTCTGAGTGTAAACAACATTTTGACTGTTTTGTCAGTATTCAGTAAAAGATTATTACTAGATAACCATAAGTTAGACAAGGCAAGAGCTCCAGCATCAAGAGTTTTTAGCTCGTCTTTGTCCTTGTTACAGTGATAATAAGTAGTGTCGTCTGCATACTGAACCGGAAAAAGTAGGCTTCAGATATTATAGTATAAAGAGGGTTGGCCCAAGAATTGAGCCTTGGGGTACTCCAGCATAAACTTTTTGAGTTTCTGAAGTATTGTTTCCAATTTGTACAAATTGACAACGGTTTTTTAAGTACTGGATTAGGAGATCAAGACCTTTACCTCTTATACCATAGTATGGGAGTTTATCCAATAGTTTGCTGTGGCTAACACAATCAAATGCCTTTGAGAGGTCAAAGAAACTTGCTGAAAGCATCTGTGTATCCTTAAAATCACTGACAATATGAGTCACCAGCTTTGTGATAGCATTTATTGCTGAGGACTTCTTTTTAAAACCAAATTGTTGGTCACTCAGAAGATTAAATTTGTTAAGGTATGCAAAAAGTCTATTGTTAAAAGCTTTTTCAATAGGCTTTGATAGTATAGGTACTATTGATATAGGCCTGTAGTTTTCTGGAAGGTTTTCATTTCCTTTTTTTTTGTATATAGGAGAAACTTTTGAAGTCTTTAAATCCTGAGGAAATGTGCCGTCAGTAAAACATTTATTTATAATCACGATGAGTGGATCATATATACCATCTGCTAATAATTTAAGAATTTTATTGCTAATACCAAACACATCCAATGTTGTGCTATTGGATAATTAATTAACAATATCTTTTAATTCCTCCCTATTTACCAGATATAGAAAAAGAGTATTGTTAAGTGATATTTTTTGGTGTTTGTTTTGTGTAGTAACGTTAAAGATTTTTACACACTTAGGTATTCTAATGCTGATATAAAATGTGCCAAAAAAGTTATTAGGAAACTAAGAATTTTATCACATGCATAAATATTAAGTATAATGATTAATCATTTTTGACATTTTATTTTTCATATGTAGGTATTGTATTTTGTGAAATATATGTTCTTCTTCTTTTAAATAAATTTAATAAACAATGAACTGCAGATTTTGTTTATTTTATTTTGAAATTATATTTAAAAAAATATAATAAATTCGCCTATTTCAATAAGGATTGGTCAAAGTGGGCAAAATCCCTTTATTATGGCTAAATTGTAAGTTACAATTATGTCAATATAAAGATGTTTTGCCCATTCATATTTACATTTATTGAATGAATCATACTGGAGTTGATTTTGGAAATATTGGTGCATACTTAAATAAGTACTATTTCTAAAAATTCGTCTATGCACACATAGTCCAATGGACGTCCACTTTAGATCTATTTGAGGGTCAGGACGTCCATATCCGGGCATCCAGTGTACGTCCGTTTATGCTAATTAAATTGACAGCTGAATATCGTTAACCAGAGAACGTCTGTTTTTGGACTTAATTTTAAGTTCAGTAGTATTTTGACGTCCAGTGGACGTCCATCTCAGGTCATTATTTATTAAGCCTACCAGATAATACCCATCTATATATACTTCTTTTTTTTAATATAACTGGTCATTAAAAATTGACAAATTGAATATATTGCATTTCATTCTATCAGCGGAAGTTTGAAAACTTATTCAATTATAACTGTATCTAGTAAAAAGTTTTCAAGTGGTTCCTTGGTCGAGCTCGTCTAGCGATTGAAAGCGTAAAACGATAATGGATGTATCGTGAGTTCGTTTCCTGCTCAGGTCAAGCGATTTTTAATAAAAAATAAATAAATGGTGTATAGCGATTTGCGAAAATAATAAACAAATTATTAATTATATAAAATAGTGTGTGGTGAGTTGCGGTTCTGTAAAAAAGTGGTTATGTGGTCTCAATGGAAATATAATCCTGGACGTTTTTTGAATGTCCAGTATTCGACGTCCAAATATATTCCAGAATTGGACGTCCTCTGAATGGTCAAAAGTGTGCCATTTGTATACTTCACTGGACGTCCATTGGATGTCGGACGTCCAGAAAACTCATTTGTGGACGTCTAGACATCCAAAATTGTATATCGAATGGACGTCCAATGGACATATTTGTATTGTCTGGGTAATAGCCAGGCCAGGTATTTAACTCTAAATACATAAACCTTAAATGACATCTGGTTTAACTTGGCGAGAAAACAATTGTTTCTACAGAAATGAGTGATAAACTTGAAAGTCATTTTAATATTATATAAATCTAGAAATTCTAAAAATATGCAAGTACTTTTTAAACCTAAAAGCTTTGAAAATATATGCACATTGCAAATATTTAGTTTAACCTCTCAAACTTAATGTCTTTTTAATTGTTACCTAAATTTTTTTTGACACCCTTAAATTTATTTACCTTATTTTTAGTTAAGGAAAAGGTAATTTAATTTAAATATGGGGCTTTTATTACATTACATAAATTATAAAATAATAAACGTCTTTTACTTTTATAATAAATAATTAATTATTACATAATGAATTATATTTTGGTGCCGAAATTTCAGCATTGCTATTAACCCTAACTACTTCAATGTAATTAAATCACATTGCAACATTTGCGCATGGACTATAACAATAATTTCAGAAAATTTGCCAAACTATTTCGCTCAGTGTAGAAAATAAGCATGTTTTCTCAGCGTGCTAAGTTGTGTATCAGTCAAAGTCATGCTGTGAAAAAGGTACATCCGATATCAAAGGCACCGACAGCTACTGTCGCTTCTCCTTGATCGGTATTCTCGGATAATATTGCGACTATTGTTTCAAATGTTCTCTTTGAGTCTATAAAAACTGCTACTTCATAGTTATTATTGTCTACCTCCGTTTGCGGAATCCAGATTGGTTAATAAATAAAATATAATTTTGTTCAATATGTTGAAGAGTTTGTTCATATACAACTGATTCAAGCACTTTTTTTATAGGTGGCAAATTATTTATATATCGGAATTCCGAAGCATTTATTGTATTACTTACTTTAGGAACTATTGTATTTATTTTTAGTGAATCTGGTACTGTTGCAGTCTGAAGAAAAGTATTAATTAGATTTAAGATAACATGACCACACGTTTCAAATACTTCTTTCAACATTTTTGAATTAAGGATTTTATAAATAGTACATTAACAATTACTCAAAATTCACTCAATGACAACAACCGAAAATTTGAAAATTGAGGATATACAGGGTGGCTCACGCTCAACGGGACGGAGCTTTATGGGAAAACGTAGAAAATACGTAGGTTACAGACGGCTACAATTTAAAATTTGTTAGATGTATACAGGATGTCCCACATAAGAGAAAATATACAAAGTTATATTATTTTTAATGGAACGCCCTGTTTTTTATTTTAGAATTAAAACTACATCAAAAATAATGTCAGTTAACTAAAGGTTCCCTATTACTATTATTATTATTAGTTTTCAATTTATTTGAATTTTTAAGGAAAAAAAGTCTCCCAGAAATTAATTGTTTACTCTTGTTTGAATAATTTTTAATGAACTAATTTTTTTTTCTTATGTGGGACATCCTGTATACATGTATATTATAGTAATGCTACCTATAAAAAATATTTTAAATTTCCTTCAATTTCAGTAACATTATGTTCGATTTGGTGTTCATTGTTTAAATTAAATTCAATAAAATTTGGAAAATTTTGATTGTTAGTATTAATTAACTTTTTAGTCTTTCACATTAGTCAAGAATTATTTTTATATCTATCAATTTTATAAAAATAATATTGTTCTTTTTTATTTTTAGTAAATTTACAACTTCATTCCTCAATTTTTTAAATGCTCCCCATTTTTCATTTTTATCAGCACCAGAAGTGGTCTGAACTTCTTTATACATTTTATCCCTATCCTTTATTTTATAATGAGTATCATTATAAAACCAACATTACTTTTATACTGGCAAACTTGTATAGGCGCTACATTATTTATTACCGTTTGACAGTTCTTATAAAGTTAAAAAATAGTTAAGAAATAAACCAGGTTTAAAATAACATTTTAGACTTGGCTTATTTATTAATGAGTAGCGTTGGAAATGATCCTAAACAAATCTCAGTTTAATTTTTAAAAAATGTATTTTTGTAAATTTCAATAAAGATATTTTTTATTCGATATATTATTTCGATACATCCTATAATTCGATATATTTTTTCATTTTGCCATCCCTATTCCTGATTAGGATTCTTCAGCAAGAAATGGATTGTCCTCAATTCCAGTCTTCAATGGAAAATGTATATATTTAGTTTATTCTCTAAACATTTACAGATGTGCTACAATAGGTTGTACAAAATAATTGGAAAAAGTCTGTAATAACTAGATAGGAAAGTCATGTGTTGGACACATCAGATTTTTTAAAATACATATGATTTACCCATATTGGGTCTTACTATTCACTCTTGATTTGCCAATATTTTGTAGTTTAACTTACCTAAATATAGTATCTTTGTGATGGGGTCCTAAAATTCGTTCTGCAATCATTAAACTTTGAATTCGAATTAAATCTAAATCGGCAGATATATTTTCTAATTCTTCATTAGTCTCAAATTCCTTTTGAAACCTATATCCTTCTTGAGGTGGCATTATAGGTCGTTTTGGGAACAATCCTATAAAAAATTTGATAAAACTTTTCTATATAAAACATTATAGGTGTTTTTATGAATTATTATACATATTTTTGTAATTAAAATTTCATTTATTCTTAATATTTCATCATCATACAAAAATGGGATGATGATGTCTTACTATGCCTGTTTAGATATAGCTAAATTGGGAATATTGTAGAGAATTTGACACATTATTATTCCAAATTGTTACATTTTTAAGATAGTTTTTAATGAAAAATATTTTTGTAGAAATAAATTCAAATTACCTACCACCTTTATATAACATTATTTCTCTCTAAATTACTTTTAAAGCAATGTGCCACATGATATCCAATAAACAACTAAGTTTTCTTAATTTGACAATGCAGCATTCATCTAAAATAGCAGGTGATACACGAAAATGTATTAATTTAATGACTGATAATATTTTTTGTTTTAAGTAATTTTTATTCTCCTAATTAATAAGATAATTAAAGAATTTTTAGTCCAACAGTTGTGGCTGCCATAAGAAGCGACAAACATACAGGGGTAACTCAAAAAAAAAAAGACAATTTGGAATATTTTTCCACAAAATATTCTCTATTAAACACTTTTCGGAATATATCAAATAAAAAAATTGCTGTTTTTTTTTTAAATAACTCAAAAACTGCATAACTTTTTTAATAATTTTACAATTTTTTAATATTTTTTATGATTTTTAATAGCTTTTCTGAATTATTCAAATCTTATTTTTAAAATGTTTAGAGACATACTGCTTTGTTGCTAATAATTAAGTTTTCATTTAAAGTTATGGTGTTTAAAGTTTAAGAACATACCTACAAATATATGTACTTTAAATTTAGTCTTTATTTCTCTAAAAAATGTATTTTTAATTTGCTTGTAGTTACTTACTATGATTTTGTCGAATTACCAGTGCTTCCTTCCAATGTAATAGTGCCACCACCAGATCATTGTGCTCATCCAAATATGTTGCACCCATAAGTTCATGAGCATTAGCCAGTTTTTCTGGTGGATAATCAATGTTTGCCATAAGATACTCGAAAATCCGAGTTGCACCTTTTAGACATGCCATTTGTAATGCATCATCTCCATATCTTGATTTTGCATTATAGTTTGCATTATTTTTAAGTAGCAATTTTGTCGTTTCTAACCTAAAGTATTATTGATTATTATTTAATGGTTCATTTAATTGTTAGGGTTTTCTAATTATACTAATTACTTTATAATATAGGTAGGGGAAACCAGCAGAGTACTGTAGACATCATATAGACTGGATAAAAGAAATTCAAAGATGATTTTTAAAACTGCTAAGCCTAAAATCTGCTGGCATATATCCACCTCACTCTAAATTACTACAACAGCATACAAGGCATGATTATTATAGTGTAGTAGTGTATAAAATTATTATTGACTGTCCAATCTTCTTCAGAAAATTTAATATTTGTAATCCCAGAATTTTTTCCAGGCACCCCAATACTGTTTATATAAATACATCTCTCAAAAATATTCTAGAAAATTATCCGCTCCATACCATGAACAAATTCTATTAGCAATGAACTTGATATATATGTGGTTGTAAGTTGTCAGATATAAAATCCCACTTTCTATCTTAATGACTTTGTTACCTATTTATTACCAATTACAAGAAAGTTTTTATGTATTTAATATTCATATAAAAAATCTATGATGTATTCTTTATATTGTCAATTACTGCTCTGTAATTAGGATTATAAGTGGTAAGTATTGTATTACAAATAAATAAATGTTAGGACTTAAAATAATTGATGACACTTTTTTTCCAGTGATGGTTTTCTTTTCAGGATATTGTCTCTGTGCATTTAAATAATTTTTATTGCCAACTACCAATGTGTTTAGATGTAACATAATCTTAATTGTTATCTCATATACAAGTACAGGTACCTATATATTGTAATAACTAAATTAAATTTCTAGAGGGCCTCAGTCTGCTAACTATAATTTATTTTAAAATAAAAACAATACTATGGTATACTTATTTTTTGTTCTCTGGAGAATGGCCAAACTAGACATTCACCAAATTATAATTTCATTTAATATTAACATACCTATGTTCTTGAATTGCATAATGAAGAGCACTTTTATTTTGAATGTCTCGAGCATTAACATCTGCACCATTTTTTAATAAAAAGTCACAAAGAGAAGCACTTTGTACAGAATTTATTAAGCATGTACCACCATTATAATTAGGTTTGTTTATGTCAGCTCCATGCTCCACTAAATATTTAACTATTTCAAAATGGGTCATATTGTGGGTCATATAACATGCAGATCGAACTGGTGTAGAACCTGTATCCGAGACGGCATTAATATCTGCTCCACTTCTTAGTAGAATTTCAATAACGGGTAATTTGCCTGATACTGCCGCACACCATAAGGGAGTTACTACATGAGTTGATCTTTAAACAAATAGAGAGAACAATAGAAATCATTCTAGTAATCAATACACTATGTTTTTACCTTTCTTCTAGCACCTCAAATATTCCTTTTTGTTCAATGTCTGCTCCACATACAGTAATAAGATATTCAACAATTTCGGTCTGTCCCTTTTTGCAAGCTATAAAAAGAGGAGAACAGCCTATTTTTATTCGATTTCCTATATCCCTTCGTACTTCTAGGGGGTATTTTTCTAATTTATTACGAAGAGTATATGATAATCTTGCACCAGGAACGGCATGCCTACATTCATCTATCAATTCATGAAATATTAAATCTCTTTCATTTACTGGGTCCAACTTCTTCCACATATTTACAGCCCTTAAATATCTATAAACTAACTCCAAAAAGTTTTGTTTTGATTTTGACCACTTTAACAAAATGACAATTGACAACAATGATATATGTCGAAATAGTAGCGCACAGAACACTTACTCTAATAGCGTTCGGTTTGACCAGGTTCTGGAACGACAGGGGCGGCGGTTTTTTGGGTGCTTTTAAATGACATTTAGGGCAGATTCCACCCTTGTGTTAAACGAAGTTTAAAATGAAATTGTTAATGTAAAATTTTCATTTTTAATCTTTGCTTAGGACCAATTCCACCAGTGTGTTAAACGAAGTTTAAAATGACATTTTTACATTAACAATGTCATTTTAATCTCCGTTTAATACAACAGTGGAATTGGCCCTAAGGGTTAAACTTCGTTTAACAGAACGGTGGAATCGGCCCTTAAGCGTTTAAAATGTCACTAATCGGCAGTGTTGCCAATACCGAAGAAACAATTAGCGCAAAACTCCAATATAAAAAGCGCAATTTTTGATCAAAAAGCGCAACTTTATTACTCACATGAAAAAGGCCAAAATATTGCCTCAAATATAATTTAAAAGTACAAAATGGAGGATAATGGTTTATGGTAATTCACAAGTAATCACTCTATATTCGTGCTACACTTTCGATGCAAAGGAAAAGACCTATTATGTCATTGTGAATCCCAAATATTTTGGTTACAAGCCCCCACTGAACGTAGCCTAAAATAGTTTAATATAATATACCTATACATTTAATAATATAGCTAACCATAATAATTAATAATTGACTATCCCCAAACAATAATAAATGCTTTGCTAAAATGGTAACTTTAGTTTATTAAATACATTATGTGGCTGTCTAATATCTAGGTAATCGTTTTTTTTTTTGTTATTGTGTCTATGGGGCGGACTGAAATGATTTACAGATAAGATACTAATAAGAAATAGTAGGTATATGCAGTTAATTTCTTTAGCTTGAAATATGAGTCACGTTATAAGGTCTCATAAATAAACTTTCATGCAAATTTTATAGTCTAAATTTTGCGTGGGACAAATGTCTACGTACGTTATGTTAAATCAGATTATCAAACTATACGACAGTTACTATTAACGGCTATTTTTGTCACTATCTAGACTATACTTAGTTAATTTTTTAAAATGGATTATGGTTATTTGAATTTAAAGCATCAGTTATTTTATTTATCTATATAACAACATGACTAAGATGTCATTATTACAATTATTTTAATACAAAAAGAAGGCCGACCATCTGTGTTATTTGGTGGCCATGTGTCAACTGTAGATGGAGAAGATTGAGAAGATAGGAGTAGTATAAGTTAATCAATGAATGGATAGAAATATAGTGAAGTGAATATCTGTGATAATCCATAGTTGAAACTGAAGATATAAAGTAACACTATATTATCATTTGGGCATTGAAAACAACATAATTGTAGGGAACAACGATGAAAAACTACTAGACTAATCTATTCATTCATAATTATGCCCTTTTATTTATTGCAATCATTCTGATTGTGTTTTATATTACACAGACAGAGCTGTAGCATCGGCTACCGCATTAGAAATAACGAGACGGCTGCTAATTTAAATGGGGATGGTGTTTGTGCGAGTTTGTTTATCTGAGGAGAGAGCATGCGATTTAAGAATGAATCAGCATTTACCTCTACTACGCAAGCTTTACACTGCTGTCACACTATACAACTATATAATAGTTGCAACGAGAAAAAATATATTAAACTGATAATAACTGAGGCATAAAGAATACAAAATGTAAATTGAAAGCCTTTTGGGCGCTGTAGAGCCTTATGTTTAGTCAATACCGAATTATAAACAAACAATCCGTGTAACCATACTCTCCCATACCCTCTCATAATAATTGACAACTGCGTGGGATGATATATACCGTGAATGTTTGCAATTGCAATATTATTTAAAAATTATTAGAAACCTTAGGCTTTTGCCTAATTAGGCATTCCAAACTGAATGGCTATCAGTGGGTTTTGACAGGTTATGATATGGCAAAATTATGGCAACCCTGTAGGCCTGGTGATTTGACAAGGTCAATGAAATAGATAGTTACATAGATTGATCGTCCATATTTTTCAAAATAAACATAAGCAATTATTTTTAAAATATATAGGGGTCTATTCTGTAACAATTCCTTTATATTTAACGGCCTTTAACAATATTGGCGGCCTTTAAGATATTTTCGTATTCGTTAATTTACTTCTGTCATTACTTAAACAGATTTCTTTAAGATAGTTCTTTAATGTATTTTAAAGATCCGTTTAAATAATGACAGAAGTAAAGAAGAAAATATTTTTAAAGGCCGTTAAATATAAAGGAATTGTTACAGAATAGACCCCATAAAGGCTGAAAATTGGTTTTAAAACACATTTTTGCTAAACCGATTCAAATTAATAAATATTTGCCAGGCAATATGGCCGCTCGCAAACGACCAGCTTTGAGCAATCTATATGACCCTGTTAAAGACAACATGACGACAGGGTTGCCATATCTAAACTGTCAGTCCCCACTGGTAGCCATTTGGACATATCCTTGGAATGCCTAATAATAATCAAGAATACATTTACGAATTTTTGTACAATTTTCAACATAAACAGCATATTATCCGCCGCTCTGATATTTATGTCCCGCGTTTGAGAATCCACATTGGATGCATCTGGGGACCTATTTTCAAAGTCGAGAGAATTCATTTCTCTCGAGAGAAATGTCATACGTCAACGTAAAACAGTATTTTTAGGATCCTAACGGCCAGTGTAAACTCACTGATTGTTTCTCACGGTTTATTTAGAGATAATTAATATCCTCATAAGAATTTTAATCCTCGTGGCCTTTAAAAACAGCGTTTCCACATTGACGTATGACATTTCTGATGAGAATTTTGAGAGAAATGAGTGCTCCCCAATGAAGTGGAGAGGGGTAGAATGATAACTGTCAATGAAAAAGTCTGGACACTATGCACAATTTCGTTTTGCACATTTTGTAAACAAAATTCAGGGACGGTTTAACAACATTTTGTGCAACAATTATAAAATAGTGCATCGAAAAATAATTAACAAGTATAATTTAATACTAAATCGGAATAAAAGCATAAAAAATCATAAATATAAGCAAGATAACAAAGAATTGACGCCAAAAAAGCTTACAACAGCCAAAACACAAACAAAAAACAGAGCTGAACATGAACATAAACGCTGAATAAAGTCCATCCTGGAATTTGTTTACAGTGCTTTAGGGCAACCTCTCCTTGTCATTTACGTGTGTAAGAGTGGAAGGTTGAATCACGCATAATTTCTACACTCGTGATGGATGCGCAGACGGTACCTTATCGTTCTACCCTCTCTACTTCTTTGGTGCTCCCATACTTTGAAAATAGCCCCCCTGAGATGTAGTAAATCTTTGATCACGTGATTCAGTATACGTAAATGTAATGGGACAGATGTGTCCAGAGTAAGTGTTCTGTGGTGTCCAGTATGGATAAAAAACACTCGAGATGTAAAAAATGCATCCGATGTGGATTCTCAAACGCGGCAAAAAGTAGTATATTATGTTCGGAGACACACCGGCCGATATAAGAAAAGCACCTCTTGGCGACGTTTTCAACTACATCAAAGCTGACGAGTTAAGAGGGACTAAAATTGGTGAATGCACAATAGGCCTAGTGGGACCTAAGTGCCGTGAGGCAACCTAATAAAATTTTCAAGAAAAAAATCGTTAGAATTTAAACAACGCCACCTAGTGTTCGTTTAAACAACTGAAACAAAACTCTTTTGAAATATTTTACTAAACAATCAATTTTCTTTTTAATCGATACTAAATTATTCAAAACCTAATAAACGATTCTGTAGTTATAATTGTTTTATTAAATCAAGGTTCCCAATAAACGCCCTTGCTATTTTTGTAAAATTTTCTCAATATTATCGTTCTTTAATTTTTATCGTACTATTATTGAAGATTTCTAGGAAAAAATAGAGTTTTTTTCATTACCATAGCCAATTATATGTCCTCTAACGGGGAAAATAGAAAGTTTAAAATAATTTCCAGCATTTTCCTTAAACATAATTTATTTTTTTAGACATAAAATAACTAGTTTTTGAGGTACAGCCACTAAGAGTCCTTAATCAGACACCCTATATAGGTGTAGCAGGTGAAGTTTTAATTTTTTCCTCGAAAACGAAGTAAGATATGAAAAAATAGTGACAAAAAAGTTGTATTTTCAGTTAATTTATTAAAAAAATAATGAAACAAAAAATCTACTTGCCTATTGTTATTGTATCGAAAACTAATCGAAGTGCCCTGTGAGCACGCCTCTGGAATTACTCTGGATCAACTGTAAGATCCCAGTATATATACCAATGCTTAGTAAGGTAAGATCCTCCATGGGTAAGATGTTCGAGATATACCTAATAAAGTTGTCAACAAACTGTGAAATTTTCATTAAAATTTTAAGCTATTAATAAACTATTTATTAAAATAAACTGTAACATTAAAAAGTACACAAAATTGGACAAACTACCTTTATATATCGATAAGCTATTGACCGGTAAAATTCTGATGGTTATAAAAGCCTACCCTGTACACTAGCGATGAAACATCGAAACTTTCGTTACATTCGTATTACATTAGCAGGTTAAAGTAACGTAATTTCCTTTATTGAATTTTAGTTATAATCGTACCTATTTAAACTAGCGTAAAAAAATACTTCTCTTTAGCATAATTTTATTATGGTACCTATTAAAAGTTGGGACATCCCGTATAAACACCCTAACTGTTTTACAAAATTACCGCTAGAGGACGCAGAGCACACTCAATGCCAAAAGTGTTTTCATATTTTTTATCAAGTAGCTCTGTTTTCTTTTGTTTTTATTCTATTAATAAGGAAAATATTTCCATCTTGCTTGCATTCAATTTCAACATGGCTTCTTTAGCATTTAGAAGTGAAAAATTATCCAAGAAAATCGAGAATTATCATCATTTTTTGTGATAGAAATTTGAAAAAAACCGTTGCCGAGAACTTTGTATTTACAGGTGAGGTATTTGTTTTATTTACAAAGTGAATATTTGTTAAAATA